AGGCAACCTATGGAGGGGAAAATATGGGGTATAAGGTGCAATGGTCAGAAGGATATGACTTAATTAGCATAAAGAAAGGAAATAGCTTTCAACTCGATCGCCGAAGGGATTTAGTGAGCCAGTGTTCCTGACATCCTCTGGGAGAGAGAAAACGCATACCATGCATGGAAAAGGAATAGCAGAAGAAATCGGAAGTATGACGTAGGATGTCCAAAGTGAGGTTGGATGAGGATCGTTAGGAACTCAGTAACGAAGAAGAGCGAAAAGAGAAACATTGCTTCAGATAATGTGGAGAGGAGGATAGGAAAATAATATAATATAGTTACTGTAATGTGTGTAAGTCCCTGCGCCGGCGAATAGTGAAATTAGATAGTCTGGAACGGAAATTTGACACATGGTCAAATTTACGAAGGTTGGAAAAACAAAATTCTGCAGACGCACCAATTTATTGAGTAGTTCCTCCGATAGATCCGTGTAACAAACATCGGCGTTTGATCGGCTATGATCGATAATCGAATGCGCTAAAGAGACCTTACTTCTAGTAGGCAAAATAATACCCATATAATAAAATGAAAAAAGGATTTTTTTATATTCTATTATTTAAGAGGTTTTAGATAGGAAAAATATTGGAATTTTGTATTTTTTTGGATAGATTAATTAATAATAAAACAATTTTGAAAGTAGAAAATATGTTTTTCATATGTTATAAAAATTAGTAAACTGTTGTTTACTTTGCCAGTATTGTCTTTTTAGCCGAAGTTTGCTATAGGTACTTAATAGTTATAACATTTCATCAATATTGCATTCGTAATCCTATCTTGGAAAATAAATAGTTATCAGACTTTTAATTGTTTTGTGCCAAGTGAAAATATAAGCGTAAAGTGTGTTTATAAAGTTTTCTTGATAGAAAAAAATCACAAAGTTACCACTGAAAATCACAATTATCATTTTTTTTAGGTAAGGAGCTTTCCGCCAGCGATTTCGTCTGCGTGGCTCTTTAATATATAAACTTTCCTCTTGAATCACTTTTTCATATTGATGAAAATCACATTGAATATCGTAGTGTAGTTTAAAAATACAATACATACAGACCGACCATAGATATCGATATATAATGTGAGTCATTATGTAGCCGAGAGCTTTATGTACCACTTTACAATAATCATCCGTCGATTTCTCGTTCCGAGAAACAAAAGTCAGAGGGCAGAATCTTTAGTCGTGTATGCTCAACAACAAAACTGAATAAAATGAAATGAAAATAGAAATGACAAAATAAAAAGTAGAAATAGGAAAATGAATGTCTGGGTTTATCAAAGTTGACTACAGAATAGAGATAACAAAACGAACATGTAACATGTTTATTTTATTATTTATTACAAACTTAAAATAGATTAAATTTTGTTTTTTTTTTTATATTTTATAATTCCGCACCTTATATTTACTTGAGACTGCTTAAACGTTAGCTTATTATATAACATTCCTATCTTCTCTTGGTTTGCACAGACCAACACATGAACATACCAAACAGCATTGCCACCAACTGAAAACAAACAAAAACAATTATACAACTCTCTTAGAACACCGACAGGCTTCTCCACCATATTGTCTCACAAAATGGATATGACATGGGAAGGTTTTCTCTTACATCTGCTTTTTGAAAGCGGGGTATGCATTAAAATTGTGAAAAGAAGAAAAATCAATAGGTGCGCAACAGTGAGCGTGATGTGTACATACATGTCTTCGAAAATCTTCTAATTTATAGATATGTCAGGTGAATTAACTAGGTTTTACAAATATTTAAATAGGTGCCGCCTAGTTTTGTACAATATCTGATACGTGATTCTGTTCTGGTATAAAGGCTCTGAAAGCTAGGAACATCATAGATCTCAGGGACTACCAGACCAAAAGAACTATTATGACTTTGGCGGTGAATAAAAAAATAATCTGTTATAGTAATACATCTCCCTCCTCATCTCATAGCTGTGTTACAGTTTCCACAGGACTTACGATGATTTTACTTACTATTTCTTTAACAACGATATCACCGCCTACAGCAAAAACGCTGTCTTACCTCAATAATGATAACAGTGATGAGCACTCCTCCCACACCCTCTCCGAATGCCTCGAAATAATCCTTGAGGGCGGTTGCACAGCCGATGGTGAAGGCGTTCTCCACTGTGCAGTCGGCTTCAGATGTGAAGTCGCAGCAGGTCGGTGGCAGAGGCTGAGGGCCGTACGACGACGGACCAGTCGTACCGCAACATTGAAACTAAAAAAACATAGGACATATTATATTTGATCAATTTCGCATTCCTGATTTTAACATTGACACCGTCTTCTTTCTTGACGTAGACATATTATAAATTTAACCTGCTAAACTAAGGTGGTTATAGTTTTTAAATTAAAATTATGACGTCATCTAACCATTACCAAATGAAAACTCATTATTATTTGCTTAACCGGTACTTTACCATGTTTGTTATTGTTAAAGTAAGTTGGTGCAACTAACCTTTAATAACAAACCACGCTTTACTTCAAAATTTCTTGAATTCGTTACAGTTCCCAGACAATATATGTAGAAAAGTTCATTATCACCCTTTAGATTTAGGATAAACTGTAAACGCGTCATCTACCTGATTATTATGCTATAATCGTAATTGGTACTTTTTTTATGGGATAGGGGGCAGACAAGCAGACGGATCACCTGATGGTGAGTGATTACCACCGCCCATGTACACCTGCAACACCAGAGGAGCTATAAGCGCGCTGCTGGCCTTTGAGGGACGAATATGCTCTACGCTTGATAGTTTGTAGGTCGTATCGGTCTGGAAATACCGCTGGCGACAAACTGTTCTAGAGTTTGGCTGTGCGAGGCAAGAAACTTCTAGAAAAACGCACAGTTGAGGACTTCCAACCATCCAAATCATGGGCGTGGATTTCTTGTCGCGTGGAACGATGGCGGAAAGTAGCGGCAGGTATGAGTCCGAACAATTCCTCGGAGCATTCCCCGTAGTAAATGCAATAGAAGATGCACAGTGAAGCAACATCTCTACGCAGGGCCAGTGGATCAAGTCGACTTGAAGTGTCCCAGCAATCGACGATTCGAGTCGCTCTCCGCTGAATGCGGTCTAGAGGGAGAAGCCGGTATTGGGGTGCTTATATATGGGGCCAAACCTGCACCTTGTAAAGCTGTAGGCGGAGTGAAATACTGCCTAAATCTATTCAGCACACCAAGCTTCTTAGATGCTAATTTAGCCTTATCCTCTAAGTGACCACGGAACTGGATCTCGCTCGATATGTCGACACCGAGAATCTCAATATTGGCTCAGGCAGTTAGGGGAATGTTTTGAAAGCGAGGTGATACGACAAATGGGGCTTTTTTGGCGGTGAATAATCATAAATCATATGGGGTAAGAGTACAGATATTAAAAAAAGCCTTCGTTGCTCAAAAAAAAAGTACGATATTAGGGCAATATGTGGTGCTGTACCTGATGCAAACCTCTCTTTAAATGTTTTAACCTTACCTTGTTAATACATTTTTGAAGTCGATAAATTCGTTAAACAAAATATGTGTCACTTTAAACAGGCAAAAAATTTATATATACGCAATACCAGAAATTGTGATAGATTGGTTACTGATATCATTCCAAGGAGCGCGAGATTCCAGAATAACTGTTATTGGATGTGTATTGTGCTTTTGAATAATATCCCTCTTAGCATTAAGAATCTTCCATTTAATAACTTTAAAAAGGCACTATTTATTTGGTTGTGTGATAATGCTTTTTTTAGTATTAGGGAATATTTAACTCATAAAAATAAGTTCCTTACTTATTGTGTATGCATATGTTGAGAATTGTGTAATGTCTTTAAATGTGTGATTTTTTTATTTGTTATTTTTTTTCTTCAATTGGACATTATCTACTTTTATATTGGTACTGATTTTATAATTTAATTTGTTTGACATTCTTCAAGTGGGAATAATTATTGTACTCTATAAAAGTTTTATGTAACTTATGATATTTCTAATTTAATAATTTTGACATACATATATCCAATGTGAATTTGTAATTTTATTAATATTTGCATGCTATAGGTGATGGCTAAATGGGCTGAACTCAAATTGTATTTCAATCTACAATGTACCTCATTTAAAAGTAAAAAAATATTATTATTATTATTATGAACGCGCAAAACTGTGTCTTAGTAGGGTTGAAGTGGACCAAATTATGTCGACCCCAGTTAGAGACTTTCTCTAACGAAGATTCAATATCAGACACAAGTTGATTCCGACTCCCAATGACGCTTTCCCGAGAAATATTAGCACGACCGTTATAGGTGGAGTCCTTCGTGCTGTCATCTGCATAACAATGAATACCGCTCATTTGCAGCATATCATTAATATGCAGAAGAAAAAGTGTAGGTGATATCACACTTCCTTGGGGAACACCAGCATTTATAGACAGTAGGTCCGACCATTCACCGTCGATTAAAACCTTAATGCTTCTGTCTGCCAAAAAACAGTGACCCATGTACATAATTTCTCGGGAAGCCCATACGAGGGAAGTTTTGATAGAAGAGCTTTGTGCCACACCCGATCGAAGGTACTGAAGGAGCTGGCGGTTGATAATAGACTCCATTAGCTTTGAAAGCGAAGGGGTTATAGCGATCGGCCTGTAGTTTGACGGGTTCGAGCGGTCACCTTTTTTTGGGATCGGATGCACTAAAGCAGTCTTCCATGAGGTTGGGACGACTCCAGGTGAGTAAGAGAGCCGGAATAGGTGCGTTGAGACCGGTGCCAACTCTGGAGCGCACGTCCTTAGCACAATAGGGGGGATACCATCGGGCACACTAGACTTGTGGATATCCAGGGAGAGTAGTGCTAGACACACTGAGCTTTTCTTTTCGCTAACAGTAAAATATTTACAACAATGCAGAATTTAAAATTGAACGAACATCTATTATAATGGAACGCGTCGAAGGAGGCGAAAGTACAAACATCATACATGTACAAATTCTAATGTCACCTGTCATTAGTTTCTAGGTTCGTTTCGTTTCGTCATTTCTTCCGTCTTCTTGGTCTCTGATAAATATTAAAAATTATAAAATGTACACTTACTGCTACTTCAAGTACACCAAACGCTTCACGTTTATCAAAAGCATTCTCGACCCAGCCCTCTACGGTCTTCTGTAGAGTCTGCAGTCCGTTGAATATTACTGTCACCAGATATATTTTGCCAGCGGCTAAAATCGCCATGCACACAAAGTACTGTAACAACATATGAAACATGTTTTTATCCAATGACCAACACTTCTGCCGCGTAACTTCAGATTAATAAAGCCCTGTTATGTAGTGCAGCTAAAGACCACATTTAAAACAGATGGTACGACTAAATTCAATAAAAAAATAATTTTTAAAAGAGCATAGGCATATAAACCAAATTATAGAAATTAATATTATTGAGTATTGAAAGTTTGTAATAATTGCTTTCAGTATGAAAAAAATAATCAAAATAAAGTTGTCATATGATTGGGTTTTAATAATTTATCTCTACCATGGGAAGCTTCGTAATCTCTACTAACGTAATTTTTGGGTTATTTTTCAAACTTCAGAGAGTTTCTTACCATGGTGAGTAGACATCTGGACTCCCTGATTGCACCGCAGCAGCCGAAGAATGCGATAACAAATACTATAACACCCAGGACAATTACTGCTATGGGTATCCCGTTGATTGCACTAGGAACCACTTCCAGGATCTCAGACAACTGCACCAGCACCGCAATACCAGTGCCGATTAGTGCCAGACCCGCGAGCTGGAATCATCACAAAACGATTAGCTAAAACTGATATCTGGATCGAATAGGTAATCTATCATGAATTAATAGTCCTACACAATATACACCACGTATAGTTTTCTGGTACACGTACAATCATTTAATCTTATAAAATAATTGTAAAACGACGATATTTAGCAACTTCCACGTCCAGATATTTGTGTACCGCCCGCAAAACGTGCACAATCAGCAACAAATCGTTAAACAATCACCAATTTTATTACTCTACATGTATGTAGGCCCCTCCATAGTACATCATCAGTAGCTGTCCTAAGGTCATTACCAGATACGTTATTGCTTGTGCATTTATTGGTGGGCGTTGCACAGATAATAACTTACAGACACAAACCGAATGAATTTCCGCAAGATAAAACTTGATTCTACTAAATATTTTATACAGTACATACGGCAAAATAGCTACTTAATAAATATAAGAATTAAGTTACTCGAGGTGGGATTGATTTAAGTAATTGATAAATATATTTTAATTGCAATTTTTATAAAATATAAAATAATAAAACGTATTTTTGATTTTGGAAACATACATGGGTGTGGCTTAACCCTTGCAACGTCTGGTTGTTGTAAATAAATGGGTGAAAATATAATGGAAATAAAGCATGGTTATCTTTAAAATCTGATTATAATTTATTATGAATCAGTAGGCGTTAATCATCGTGAGTCAGTCTAGCATATCAACAGCCTATAATGTAGATAAGTTAACGTGAAATTTTACTCTCATTTGACATTTACATGCTTCATTTATCGTACACGATACACGCCAAATATTTGTTCAGTGATTATATTGAATGCTAAACAGGACATAATCGTACAGAGATCTCGGGATCTACTTAAGTTGGAAAATATATGGAAAAGAAATATTTATAAAACTCTTCAAGTCAATTTCAACTTAATTGTAGACTGATTGCAGTTTAAAAACAATTGCAGAAAGACAGTTTTGTATAACTTGCCGTGATATTGACTGTACTTTGGAAGTTTCAATATCGTTATAATAATATGTACTTTTATGTAAGACTTGTGTCATCGATAAGAAATATAATAGTTCGAAGAATATCAAATAATTATCTCAAAGATTTACACTGGTCGATAACGTCCGCGTGCGGGGTGTAGGTCGACGATTTCTATGGCTTGTTCTACATTGGTCGGTCAATAGTTTTTGTCAATACGAAACGAGCTAACAGCCCTGCGATTCTGTAAAAATCCTAACCCAAATTCGAATCCACTCAGGTGACCGGATTCACTTCAAAAAGCGTCATCAGCTCAACCTTGAATTGATAATAACGTTACACGGCATAAAGAAGTGAATTTCGAAACTACACAGGAAAAGAATATCTGAGACAATTAATTATGTTTTGTACTTTTATATTTACAAAAAATGGAATCAATAGAATTTCTATACTAAATGATATGAATTCGAACATATGGGTGAATTCATATTCGGTTTTGGATTATTATAAAATCGCAGGGCAGAACTGGCTCGCGTTCCGCGTTTGCCAAATAGCATTGAATGCCAAATTTGAACAAAACAACGCCATCATCATAACCTGCCCATTAATGTACCCACTGTTGGGGCTCAGGACTTCCCCATGGATGGAATCACATCGAATAGGAAGAAAGGGCACTGACTTTGAAGGAAATTTGGCATCTTTGTATTTAATTAGGGCTTTACGTAGGTGCTTAAGCTCCTTAAACACCTAGCACGAAGTTAGCGCATACACATGCGCTAACTTCCTCGCCAAATTGGGGGTGGATCGGTACGTAGCGCCTAAAGGAAAGTTCCAATAGCAAATTAGGTGGGCGGTACGATTCAGACCTACAATTTCAACGTTTTCTTCAGATATAACTATTTAAAGTATATATATTTGCCTTTGCTATTATTGTTACACTTAAATTACAAGGTTATATCTTACTCTTAAAACTAAATAAAAGAAGGCAGTTTAGTTACGGTTATAGGATCAAGTTTGTGTTTTTTAATAAATGAGGAGGAAATATCTGTTTGTAATCACTAAAAATGTTTATGTATCAATTTTATCAATAAATGAGCGAGAGCGGTGCAATAATTGTTTATTCATTCAAATATTACCTAGTTTAATTTACAACTATTATATTATTTAAAAATGAATGGAAATTTTATGTCTATTTATTATCAAAACTTGAGGGGTTTACGTACTAAATATAATGAGTTCTTAAGTAGTGTATTGAATAACAATTATGATATGATATGCATAACTGAGTCCTGGCTCAATGATTCATTCCATAGTTCGGAATTTTGCGATAGTCGTTATGAGGTTTTAAGATGTGACCGAAATGTAGTATCCACTGGGTGTTCTCTCGGTGGTGGAGTAATTATAGCTGTGCGTCGAAGTCTTTGTGCGAAACGTCGAACTGACTGGGAGGCGCCACCGCCAGCAGATGAGCTGTGGGTGAGCGTTCCCCTTCGCAACCGCGCCGCGAGTTCCCTGTCCACCACTACCACTAATGACTCAATTTTTTTACATATAGCGCGTACCTATATACCACATGGTGTCAGACACGAGGCTTTGCTGAGCTCTTTTTATGACAGAACCGCGGACATCATACACTCGCATAGTGATGATGTATTTCTTATATTGGGGGACTTTAATGTATCCAATGCTAATTGGAAATATCATGATGAACAGGGTAGCATGTTCATACCTTCAAGTCATGACAAATTTACATCGTTGACAGCAGATTTCATGAACTTATGTACACTGGGACAATACAATAATATATCTAACATTAATAACCGTGTTTTAGACCTAGTTTTTTGTACTGAAATGTGTTCGATAAGGTCGAGTTTTATGCCCTTTGTATTGGAAGACCCACATCACAAAGCTCTCGATATTGATGTAGTAAAATGTCTACCAATTGTTTTAAAAAATAATACAACTTATAAAAAAATGTTTTTAGGGCTGATTTTAATTCTATAAAATGCAGTTTAGATTCAATCGATTGGGACACTACTTTTCAGAGCTGTATTGATGATGTTGATGCTATGGTGCTGGTTTTCTACAACATTTTAACTGATTTAATTAAATTACATGTGCCAGTAAGCCTCCAGATAAATAGAGAAAAATTTCCTCCGTGGTACTCGCGACCTCTTATTAAGTTAAGTAATGAGAAAAGAAAATATCATAGGAAATGGAAAGCCTACGGTAATCAAGCTGACTACAATACGTTTTCATTACTACGATCTCGCGTCCGCAAATTGGAAGCAGATACCTATAATAAATATATAGCATTTTCAGAGAATAATATTAAAAATGATCCAAATTCGTTCTGGTCATATGTCAAATCAAAAAATAAAACCGACGAAATTCCACATAATATGATTTTTAATGGAAGAAATTTGACTACAGGCGAAGAGATTTGTGCAGCTTTTAATAAATTCTTTCAATCCGTTTTTGAAAAAACTAACGTAGATATTGATAGTAGCATAAATTCAGCTCGTAAATGTGATGAAAAATTTTCCCTATTTGATTTCGGAAAAATACAACTAGATGAAAAAGTGATACTTAAACACTTAAAAAATGTAGACATTCATAAGGGAGCTGGATCTGATGAGATACACCCTTTATTAATATCTCAGTGTGCAAACCAATTTGTAAAATATTTCAACAGTCCTTGAATTCTGATATTTTCCCTAGTGCTTGGAAGAGAGCCCTCATTACGCCTATTCCCAAAAACAAGCAAAAAGATTTAATAACGCAGTATCGACCCATCTCAAAACTATGTGTTTTTGGTAAATTATTCGAGAAAATAGTATCAGATCAACTGTCCTCCATTCTTAAGTCTCATATGTCTGATACGCAACATGGATTTATGAAAAGACGCAGTGTCGAGACCAATATGGTCACATTCACTGATATTGTCCTTAAAGCTATGGATGAAAACAAGCAAGTTGATGTCGTATACACCGATTTCTCTAAAGCGTTTGATAAAATTAGCCATTATTTACTTATAAAAAAGCTTTCAAGAATCGGTGTGCATGGCAATTTATTACGATGGTTTGAGTCTTATATTCGGAACCGTAGTCAGGCTGTTTGCATTAAGGGTTACTGTTCGAGTTTTTTGCCGTTATCATCTGGAGTACCTCAAGGATCACACCTGGGACCTGTACTATTCGCAATTTATATAAACGATATTGGTGATTCGTTACCAAACAGTTACCATCTTCAGTACGCAGACGATACAAAAATATTTAGAGTCATTTCTAATATGGATGACTGCTACAGCCTTCAAGCTGACTTAAACACATTAAATAAATACTGTACAGAAAACCAACAATTTGTTAACGCAGATAAATGCAAGATAATATCTTATACAAGAAAAACAGCACCAATATTATTTCAATACTCAATTAACAACATGATTTTAAAAAGAACAGATAGTATTCGCGACCTGGGTATAATTATAGATAGCGCAATGACTTTTAATCTTCATTATGAGAAAATTGTCCAAAAATCACTCCGAAGTTTAGGTTTTATAAATAGAGTAAGCAAACCGTTTAGTAAGATTATTACTTTTAAAATCCTTTATTTTAGTTACGTAAGATCAGTTTTAGACTTTGCAAGTGTCGTTTGGAACCCTTACTATAAAATAGACATAAACCGAATAGAAAATGTTTTGGAAAAATTTATTAAAATATTGAATTATCGTTCAGGAAACTATGATCAATCATACAGAGAATCCTTAAAACATTATAAATTATTAACTCTACAGAATCGACGTAAGCAGCTGGATCTGCAATTTCTTTTTAAAATACTAAATTCTTTTGTCGATTCCTCAACGCTTCTATCGAAAATAATTTTATAACTAAGGCTCGGTTACATGTACGCTCCTCACGTTGTATGAAAGTATTTGTACCACCTCATTTTCGCAAATTATATACTGCAAATAATTATTTTTGTCGTTGTTTAAGTATGTACAATTGTGAATTCTCAGATATAGACCTGTTTAACTGCTCTCTTAGTAGCCTTAAGTCTCAAATCTTTACTAAAATAGTATAGTAAACAACTAATATTGCTTTAAATTTTTACTTAGAGATAAGTTAATTGTGCAAAAATTTGCTTCTTTAATTGGTGTCCTTCAGACCACAGTTATTTATTTATACCTCTACAGAAATAGTGGACACACATTGTCTATTAAATATTGTAATTAATTTAAGTATTATAATGTAATGACTGTTATGTGTCAAAATAAAGAGAAAAAAAAAATGATATGTATAAAATATAGATATCACGCTCTTCGATGATAAAGTCTGGTAAAAACTATGAAATGAAAAAGTTCACAGAAATAAGGAAAAAATCTCAGTCGTTGAAATGGACTCAAATCTGTTTTAATGATGATAAATATGATTGTTTGAAGATTAACACATGATTATCATATACATAGACACATCGATATTTCTAATTAGCGGAAAGTCAAGCAATTACGATAACAGCAAGTTCGGCAGCGAGTATGAATTCAAGTTCTTCCTTAAATAATACTTAGATATGTAACATTTTCTTATACTATCGATTAATAGTTACTTAAATCAAATTTAAAGACTCAAAGTACGACCAAAGAGATTTTAAATGAAAACAACATATAAAGAACCTGTTGTTTTATATAGCTGAAGCACTAAAAGTTTATAGTTCCTCTGTGCACTAAGACAGACTTACTGAGATTTATCTGATAGAATACTAACAGCTCCCTTTGTTATGTGGGACACCTAGCAACAGAGAAACTAACGGCGTCAGAAACTGTGATATTAGAGAGGAAGAGCTTTATAGGTACTTTGTAATTGTAATGTGGGTTAGTATCGAGCCAAGGTGACTCGAAAATGTTCTCAATAGCACCTAACAGTAGGGTAACTTATTTGAAAATTATAGCAATTTGTTCACCAACTATTCAATATTCGAATACAGCATTCAAAGTTCGAAGAGATTTTATTTATTCGAAGACTTCTTTCAGTGTAAATCTCTGTAAAGCCTGCATTAATTATATTTATTATTTACCCATTTCTCCAACTCTCTCAAAATTGAATATCCCACATTCTTCCTTAGTGTGCTGACGCCATCCCGCTCAAATTTCAAATTTCATTTGAAAACATTAAGTTTCAATTTAAAAAAGTGGACAACCTCTAGCTCGTCTATGTGCCATAAGCCATGAGATACTTTTAGAGGTTGATTGTCTTTTTCGACTTTTTTGAAAATATATAGGCATTCAATAATATTACATAATTTATTAAACTATTCACAATAAAAAAAAAACAGCAGAATATTTTCTGAATTGTGGAAAGATTCTCTAATTTGAAAAGTATCAACTGACAAAAGGTTCTCTTTACATATTTAAAATTCTTGGAGTAATCTCACAAAAGTTTGACTATATATTTTTAAAGTTGACATGCCATACGTATTAAAGTCAAAGTTATAAATGTAAGTTTTTTTAAAGTTAGTATATTAAACTCGTTATAACGACAAAATTAAAAAATAAAGAATTTTATTGGTATCCTATCCAGCTGGTTTGTTTTTCTTTATTTAATTTTGACTTTTGAAAGATCATCATGTTATATGTTATATTTTGTGATCGAAATGATATTCTGTTAAAAAATTTGCGTCAAACGCAACGTCAAAGCCACTTCAAAATTGTTTTATATATTTTAACAATTTTTTTATACAATTTGATAAAATCGACATGATTGATGACTAAATAAATTGCAAATGTTGATATAATTATAATATAGCAAGCAAATTAAAAGGCACATATTGATGTAATTGAATTGATTAAAAAAAAATCTATGTACTTTGATTATTATAATTTTATTCGACGTTTATTTTTTCAATTTGTACTGTAATAATTTACTGAAGTTTTGACACAATTGTAATATTTTGGTTGATTGTAACACTACTATCATTCATCGTCATCATCACCAGCCTTTTTACGTCCCCACTGCAGGGGCTCAGGCCTTCTTTAAGGATGGTTAAGGAGGATGGGCCATGACCCTCCACGCTGGCCCAGTGCGGGTATTAACGACTGCAAATGTAGCCGGGACCAACGGCTTAACGTGCCTTCCGGAGCACGTAGTAGCTCGAGATAATAATTTTTTTGGTCACCCATCCCGTGACCGACCCTTGCGAAAATTACTTAACGACTACGATCGCGGGCCGCTTATCCTCTACGCCACCGAGCTATTCCTACTATTATTAATATTGTTAAATTTGACACAATTTTATGTTTTTATGAAATATTTTAAGTTTAGTCATTGTACTACCTACATCTTTTTTTTGCATGCTATTTAAGATGGCTAAATAGCTCTCACTCAAACTTCAATATCGTCACTGTATATATAACCCTATTTATTGCAAATAAAGACATTATCATTATGAACCTGTAATGTCATATGTCACAGCTCTGTTTTTCAACGCAAAACTAATATTAGGAGCGCTGGTCATTTATATTTTGTGATCGGTGTACGTCTTATTGTATATTTATTGGAATATGCTCTTCAGTAACTTTACTATTTGTATACTGGTGATACCATTCATGTTGGTTGTACACTCAATGCTTCCTTGCGGCTAGTTTAATCACTACATAGTATAAAAAAGTCGCTTTCTCTGGTCCTATATCCCTGTATGCTTAAATCTTTAAAACTACGCAACGGATTTTGATGCGGTTTTTTTCGTAGATAGGTTGATTCAAAAAGAAAGTTTTTATGTATAATACAAAACCACGCGGACGAAGCCGCTGGCGGAAAGCTAGTGTTACATAAATTAATTACTTCTTTAAAATGATATACTGACTAAACAAATAAAGTATTAAAAGAAATACCATCTCCAAAGTTTATTCGAAAGCCTATCAAGAATATCGTTTTCAAATGTTTGAACAACGATATGTTTTATTATGTCTTTTTTTTTAGATAAATGTGACAAGAGAGTAGTAGCTTATTCTTATCATGGTGTGTTCTTGACATAGTTGTCTACAGTTTCGTGCAATGAAGCTACATCGTTATTATCATGCTAACCTTGGCAGAATTTGTTTATTATTTTAAAATATACACTTTTCTGTAATATTATAAGTAAAAAACAGTTCTGAAGTAGCGGGACCAATGTTTATATACATAAAATAATTATGTATATTCATAAGAACCTACAGATTAGCACCATACTATATTAAAGTAGGATATGCAGAATCTAAACCATTAGGTATATAAACAAAGATAAGTTTACAAGAACATGAATCACATCTGTGTAAGTTTTGACATTTGGAAGCTTTGAATACCGCTTCATCAGCATTAGTCTAGTAATGTCTTTAGAACTGAGGTACAGGTCATTCCTGTGGATAGAATCACACAGAGAAAGGGATATATTTCCACCTCGCGAGTCGAGTGTGAATAAATGAGTATTAATTAACGATTGTCGACTGTCGAAAAATTAAAACAACACGCCAAGTGCGACTCCTACTCGCGCACGAATGGTTCCATACAAAAAAATGCGTTTGTTGCTTTCTATGGAGTTGTTCGAAATTTTCGAGTTTAATATCCACTATTTGTGGTAAACTTGTAAAGCCATCTTATATGTGATAGTTTTTCTTTATATTTTATTATTTATAGGTGCTGATGTAACGTTTGATTTTTCACCAACGGTTGTTTAGTTTGTAGAGGGACTTTAACGAAAATTAGCTCTTTATATTGTAAGTTTTTTTATCACAGCTTATTTTCAACACTTTCAGTTATAAAATCAAGTGGAATAATATAACATATTTGTATAACCTGACTCGATGTTAACTATGCATTTTATATTAAGATAATACTTTAAACTTAGCGTATTAAGTTATAGCAACATACCGAAAACACGAAATTGGCGAAGAATAAAACATATTTGACAATAAACTCGACACAATTGCAGCACATTTTGTATTTAAGATATAAATAATCTTATAAATTATTTACACTAAATAATAACAACTATTTCAGCGAATGAGTGCAGGAAGTGCTGTGTTATACGTGAAACTGAAATTAATATAGTTATTTGCGTTCGCGGGCGTTATCGCGCAGATACCGATGATAACATGACCAATCAATAGAAAACAATCTATTATCGGAGATAAGCTCATGATTATCTTTTTTTATTTTACTGGTTTTTTGTTAATGTACCTATTATTAAAAAAACAGATTAGTAATTTCATCTTTTTGTCTCAGAAAAGTTTCCTCAAGACCCAACTTTGATCAGTTACCAAGGTGAAATTAAATAAAGTTATTTAATCTGACTGTATCATGGAAAGCCACAAATTATATTACATGATTTTTTATCAGTTTAATTAGTGTTATCTAAATTTGTATTTCAAGGAATATAATCAGTCTATTAATATTAATTCTATTATATCTATGAAGAGTACAAGTTATCATAAAGTGACAATGATTTTGAACGCTTTTTCTCATACATTAAAATAAAGCTAATCGGAGGGACAGTTTTGTATAACCATAATGTTGTTGACTGCGAAGTGCATGAAGTGAATGTTCACTTACTATTACTCTTAGTTGTTAAAATTAGACACTCTCATACCGACTCGGTACCCTAAAATATCATTCGCCTTGGCCGAAAGGTCTCCCTATTCTGGATCAGGGCCCACGTCGGCGTGATTGGAAACGAGAGAGCGGACGAGCTGGCGAAGGGGGCGGCTCTCAGATTGAAATGCAAATCGCACTATGACGGGTGTCCCATCTCTTTTGTCAAAAGGCATTTACGCAATTTGACAAAAGTAGAGTGGGACAACCGGTATAGGAGCGAGAGAACCGCTGCCACGACGAAGGCCTTTTTCCCAAACGCGGAAAAGGCCTTCGGCGTCGTGAGAAAGATGAAGAAAGACAGATGGGCTGCACAGCTATTAACGGGGCATGGAGGGTTCAAGTCCTACCTCCATGATTACAAATGCAAAGATACCCCATATTGTGAGTGTGACCCCCTAATAAAACAAGATGTGTTTCATGTGATTTTGGATTGTCCAATGTTTAATAATTTAAGACACACTTTACAAACCAGCATCAATACAAAACTCAGTAAAGAAAATCTAAAATTGATAATGGAGGATAACAGTGAAAGCGAATTTTTTATTAGAAATGCATGTAAAATTATAGAAAAAATAAACAAAAGAAACAAAGATTAATGTAACAACAACAACAAGTCTAAAATTGTGATATTAGTTTTAAGGAAAATCTGTCACAGAAAAAAATAAATAAAAATAAAATAGAAACAAATAAAATGTATAGTAACACAAACAAGATATATAATTAGATCTAAGTTAGTTAAATAGAATTAAGATGACAACATGTAAATAATAATAAAGAAAAATTTGTAATTAGTAAATAAGGAAAGATGTAATATCATATAAGCACAGTATAAAAGAAGGAAAAAGAGCATTCCCCAAACACACAGGCTATATATAAGACCTGTATAAAAAGAAAAAGAAAAATAAGAACAAAAACAAAAAAATAGCAAAAAAGACAACCTGCTAAACAGTGGGAGAACTAGCTATTAAAAAAAAAATCATTCGCTAGTCAAGTCAATAGAAAAATCCATAACAATAGATAATTCTAAAGCTTTCGTTATTTTAAATATAACCCGTTTCAGTTGTTTATTTCTACTTTGATGTGTACTTTAATGACAATGAATAATTAATGATTGTGGATTTAATAGCAGTTTTACCAAGTAAGTGGTTTATCTTTAAAAAAGACTTATTGAAGTAGTAAAATTAAACGAATTATCGTCATAACATCGCTATGACGTCGTAACCTATGGCTCATGTCGAATGGCGACTAGGTGACCGTTCCCCCAAGAAATAGGTAGAAGACAACAGATGAAATGCTAGGCTAGGATTGGCTGCTGAGGGCACAAAATCGCCTGTCATGCAGGCACATGGAGTCTACATTCAAAGATTGGACATAAAATAGCTGAATATGATGATTAAGAGCTCTATTTACTTGTTGTAAGGTAAATAATGGCAGTTTAAGGTAGGTAGGTGGTAAGGAAGTATAATATCTGTGCTAAAAAGTACCAAATCTATTATACTTATAAAGGCAAAGATGACTGACTGGTTGATTGACTATTTCTTTGCTACTGGGCCCCCCCAGTAGCAAAGAAAGCGCTGTTATTTGGCATAAATCATAAATATTTTTGAAATACCATTAAAGGGGTTGAACATCTGATGTTTCATAATCATCTTATCTAAGCGAAGAAGACATTAATTACAATATTAGACCACTAGCGCATGCAATCATAATAATATTAAGATTATTTCTATCTTAAACGAGAATTTTATAAAATCACTGAAAAAAACCCGCATGCAAAATTTGAAACTGCTAGCACTTGTAGTAACGAAGTTTCATACAAACTGTCATCCCCTAATTTAGCCCCTTCGGGTGGTATTTTCAAAAATCCTCTCTTAGTGCTCCTCTGCACTCCCTAAGGAATCTTCATTCTAAATTTCAACTTTATACGCTCAGTAGTTTCGGCTGTACGTTGTCAATCTGTCAGTCAGTCAGTAACACAAGAATTTTATATATATATTCTTAATCTATAGAAACAAGTAACTACGTAGATTATGTATATTAATATAATTATAATTAAAACTATTATCTTTGTTGTTGAATGAGATTCGTCATTATATTATCTAATTCCGAATCATGATCAGTGTCATACATGCAAGACTCATGAGTCATTGCTATGAAATAAACTCCTTATAGAAAAGTATAGGCAAAACTTTAGCTTCCCATAACCATGTTATAACAAATTATTTCAGAAAATTTTGACAAAACATCTCGAGAAAACTAAAATAATTTTAGATAAATATTATAGAGTAACAATTCTGTTGCACAAACTGAAGTTTCTAAGATAGTAGAAGTAAACTTTATAACGCTTTACTAAAATTAGTCACTACAGGACCTCATTCTATGGCCATCAAAATTTATAATCATATTCCGAAAAGCTTAAAGAAAATAAAAGAAACAAAAATTTTTATTACAGAGCTGAAAATATACTTAATAAGTAAATGTTATTACAATATTGAAGAGTTTCTTAACGAGAAGCAACAAACTGTGGCTAAATAATAAAAAAAGTATATATGAATAAATGTATTAACTATGTTTTAGGTTTATAAATTAAGTAATTAATAAAATAATTATTAAATGAATTAATAAATGAATGTATTGTAAATGTATTAATCGTGTTTAAATTATACTGGATATATAAATAAAATAACTATTAAATGTAATAATAATAATTAACTAGAACAATAATATTTATAAGTAAAAATGGCAATAGTTGCCCCTCAGTATTGCTGTGCCCTTACAGGGCATTATTATTTATAACATCTGTATGACCTGTGACTTGCATTGAATAAATTGAATTAAATTGAGATTGAAATTATTTATAGGCTATCCAACAATCATTAACGATTGACAAAGTTTAAAAAGATTACATACAACACTTAAATATGTTTATATTTCTTTTTATTTTATATGTTTGTTTTTATTGAGATAAAGTATATTCAATCAATTTCTCAAATAAACCGCAACAATCAAATACAGGCTAACGGCACATTATTAAATATAAACATTCGATATTGCTGTTCTGTTCGATGAAACAGATTTAGGTTAAATACTTTAAAACTAAACTTTTCCAACTCTATAAACAACTAACACATTTATATTATTTCGAAATGTACAACAAACATTTTTTATGATGCATACGAGATAGGACCTAATACTGCCTCTGATGTACAATTATAATATACACGAAAAAGATGGACCTTTTCGTTATTATATGAACTATTATTGTGATATCGGTATTAGATATATATGATAGTATTTAAAACAAAGAAGTAATGAACAGTACTACAGCAGTAATCTTACGTATATATAGGTAGCAAAATCACAAAGCCACCGATTTTGGCTAATGCATAGAGTCAAGGCATAGTAAAACTTGGCTTGTATCTAGGGTTGCCAGATGGAGAGACTAAAATATCTGGGCAAAATTTGAAAAGGTCGGGATTTCGGGATCACAGTCGGGACAAAAAATTACTAATCAAAAATCCACTCTTTATTAATTAAAATTTTTAAATAAAAGCAAGTATTTACTTTTTGGCAAATTATGAGATCACATAATAATAAAACATATAAACGGCTAATATACCTACTAATTATATATTTTTATATTGCCACATGAACTTGGAATTTGATCTTACAATTTTTGTCGGGACATATTTGTTTTTTTCAGGACTCTGGACATCATTCGAAATGTCTGGACAATCCAGACGAATCCCGACCATCTGGCAACCCTACTTGTATCCGTAGGGTATGTAGGGAGAAGCTTGGTTCTATTCAAGACCATCTGATCTGTAAAAAAAGGAACATATGTAACGATGACCTGACAATAAATAAGCTGACAACTGAAGGTATATATCAACATAACCCAAATATTTTATTTTGTTTAGAATTGGCGTCGTTACATTCCTTATTACTTTATCGATAAAATAAGAGCGTGAAGAAAACAAGCTTTTCATACAGTATTTTTTATTGTACAAAATTTTTGGCTACATAAATACCTCATCTATCTTACATTGCTAAATTAATACTTAATTTGATCTCTATCTACAATATATTAAGATTTAAAATCAAATGAGAACATTTGACAGTTTGACGTCCTATTGACTGCACTAAGACATCTTTATATTTGTTTCGTCTCACTCCATATATTGGAGAAAGCGTGTGAGCATTATTCCGAGACAACCTAGACAAAAATATATTATATGTCATAACAACATTTATAAAAAATAATGTTTATAATATCTACAAAATTCGTATGATAAGCAACCAGATGATATGGTAGTGCTGAATATGAATGAATTCAAATAAAAACTGACAAAGTGACTCCAAAAACACTACTTTCATAGTGTACAGAACATTTTAGCTTTTAAGAAGAAATCATGATACTACATTATAATGAGTAAAATAATATTAAAATAAAAATATATGCACGCCAGTTCGCAAGCAGAATACTGTACTTATCTGATTATTTTAGACCTTTACTCTCCTAAATAAAGATCTTATCTAAAAACCGAATCTTTATAATAATAATTAGCCGGTTGTCTATTTGTGTTTTGCCACAGCTGATTTTCTCCGACCTATTGGACAGATTAAATTTTTTAATTCCCGAAGACGGCTGATGAACGTTATAAATGAATTTGAAGCATGGTAGTCACTATTGGGAGTTAAATTAAAAAAGGTTTCTTAAATCAGCATTATCAGGTTCTTAAATATTTTTTATAGTATAGTAAAAAAAGGGCGCTTGAAATGATACAACATTTAATAAGTAAAAACGAAACATGAATTATGGACAATATAATTTTGAATCAAACTCTATTTGCTGTTCAAATTCTAGGTGTTTTATCAAATTAAAAGAATGTTATAATTTGTTTTTATTTATTTCTCTCTATAAACAAGATTAGAACAACTTATAAAAAAATAATCTATACTTTATATACTAAAATTAAAATGCAAAAATGGCGAAACCATTGGCTTATATCCGATAATAAAAGACAAACTTCTTATTCAATCCACTTGCGATGCAGCTTTCCATAGGTGAAATATTTTTTATTTCAGAACCTATTTAATTCAAACAAACAAACATATCTGAAGTCTTAGTTACTTATTATAGATACAATTATTGCGTCACAAAATAGCTGACTACATTTACCGGTATCCTTTTACATATTTTTCCGACGTTCCTTCTATTTTCATTATACTGAAGTTTCACGTCCGTTTTAGAGTACAAAATCGGAAATAACTTGAATAACTGAGTAAATTTACAATTTCTCGCGCTCTAGGAAAAGTAAAAATGGCCTGAATGGCTTGAGAAAAGGCCGTGCCCTTTTTACTTTTTTGCTCGACTTGGCTGGGACGCCCCCGTGCTCCCAGACAGGGAGACAAACTTCTGCAAACCGACGCCAATAGGAATTACATAAAATATAATATGATAACTGAAAGTAAACGATACGTATCGCTATCCACAGAACACTGCCTTGTTTTCACGTTGCTACACCTGTAGGTTACTGACCCTGCACAAAATAGTTCGCGGAAACGAGGTAGAGTTTTATAAATAGCGAAAGGTAAAAGACACTGAACCTATAATTATCATTTTTTTCGCCTGCCCTAGTAATAAATTTCTATGAACGGTCGATATTATTGTCTGTAGCATTGGTAACGGCCGTAGCTCTTCGTAACACGTAGTAGGAGACGCGAGTTCAATAGGTCGACCTCCTGTACTTGTTGCGAGCGTGGTTGGCCAGGCACAGAGCGAACACGGCTGCCACCAACTGGAATACAGAAACCCGTATTTTAAGTTATTACAATAGAAACATGTTCATGTAATTATATGACCCAATGTATGTAACATGACATTTATAAAGAGCAGGATGGATGCTATTAAAACATCTTGCTCTCATAGAAAGATTGTTACTGTATTATCAAACTTTACATTCGATTTCACAACTTTTACGAAAGAAGCCTTGCTGACTTGCGAGATTTTTGCATTTTTGTACATGTTATGATTATGATGCCACCACATTACCTCTACTTTTTGTAGGTCATAACTTCAAGTACCTTACCTTTTTGCTCGATATGATGTAGCAGATGAGCATTAATATGGGCAGCGATTTAATTTAAGAAAATCAAAGCCGCAGATAAGACTGTATGAACGATGGTAGTACAAATAATGGTGTAAATTGAAATGTCGACGGATCGAGCAAAAGAAAAGGACACATGTCCGACTAACTAATGAAATAATTATGTACAAGCAAATGTTGATATATACGCACCTGAATAGCGCCCACGGCGATAGCGATGATGCCGATTATGAGGCCGAAGGTGCGCAAGAATTCCTTCACTATGGTGTCGCAGCCGCTGTATGCGTTCACAAGGGGGACACACGGCGGAGTGTCGCAGCACGAATTCGGCAACACCAGGTCCATATACGAGCCAGCACCGGTCGGACCGCAACAACGGAACTGTTTACCAATAATTATATATTGGGCAAACATATATAATCATACAGTTATTATAAATATGACTGAGGTGAGTCTCACTAAAGCTCGACAACGGGTGGGGATCGACTTCACTAATTTTAAGATTGAAATATTTCTAAAAGATCAAGGACGGCTTGAAAGATGAGAAACTAATGAAGAAACTGCAAAGAAAATAGTAAAAGAAAAAAATTTTCTGTCCCGTTTGTATATCTGAAGTATCTGTCAGACAGGGTCCATTTAGAAATTCTGGCGCTACGACATTCGCTCTATCTAAGATAGTTTTAAATAATTTCCTGATTGTAAATAAATCTGGATACAGGCTATTCGTATCAAGCCAAACGACTGCAGAGGTAGTTGGTATAACCGGAAGTGCCTCCTGAAGCACGGAGAAACATGCGATAACTTCCCTAATCGAAGAACGCGTTAACCTCGCTACGGAGCTCTAAATTATGATTGAAAGATGTATCAAATATAATACAATACATCTTAAATTATTTATTAAAAAAACTTTTATCTCTGCTGTTTAAGCTAGATTTCAAATGGTAGAACGGTAACTCGGTCAACGAAAGGCTACGGGTAAGACTCCCGTCTCAGACATCTGAGATGGTGGAGTTCTTTGAACATGTATTCTTCTCTATGAAGTTGGAATTACCGTATTTTCAAGAGCGTGGAATGCCTGCTGGTCCGTCTTGAACGATTGTGTGAGCCAGTCAGGAATTTGTCCCAGCAAGCTGTCGAGACTCACGAAGATGACAGTGGCCAACGCTATTTTCACCACCATTAGTATCAACATGAAGATCGCATACTGAAAACAAATTAATATAATACTTTATTAAATAAGATAACAAGTTTCTTCTAGGCAGTTGGCTAAATTTTTATAGGTGTCTTTTTTATTATTTTATTTTAATATTGATAGTTCAGCAAGAGTGCTTGAAAAAAGATTATTTGAACAAACACATTTTAATTTTGATTGACTGCAAATTGGGAATAAAGACTGAATAATTATTGAGACTTGCTTCTATGGATTTACGTTTTTGAGATTTTATATTTACAAAAAATAATAATGTATAACCATTTCATAGCAATAATTCTTATATGTTCAAGGTTGAGATCGACTTCGAAAGAAAGGAAATGGAAGAATCATAAAAAACCAGCTATGTTATACTGTTAAAAACAGCCTCTAAATCAACGTTGAATGCAATGCTGTCCCGTCATAGAGTTTTAATTAAATAAAGCTATAAATAAAAATAAAATGTAAATGGTTAAACAAAAGTATAGTGTACGATAATAGTCGCGGTAGTTTAAAAAAGAAAACTGAAGGGCAACCACTAGCGCCCCCCTCTAGGTAGCAACTTACTTAGCTTACTTCAATATAGGTTTTATTTCACGAACTCGGCGTCAGGAACTCAATTGGCTACTGACAGTTATAATTAAATTATGACACATGTTGGAAACTTATTATTATGCTTTTAGGAATGTCTGTGGTTTATGAAATTCGAAAATCATAAGAAAGTTTTAAAATAAATTTCCCAAAAAAGGCAAATAGCCAATTAGAATAACAAAATTACGACGTGTCAATGTTGTTTCGATAATATCTATTCTTGACATAGTCGTGTCATTAGCAGAATAGAAGCTGTACTCACAGTAACCAGCATGCAGTTACTCTCCCTGATGGCACCGCAGCAGCCGAAGAATGCGATGAGGAAAACTATCCCGCCCACCACCATCGACGAGATGGGCGCGATCTGCACCTGACCATCGGCTAAGTTTGATAAGTCCGTGATCCTTAACTGGACCACGACACCTAGAACCAGCAGTGTGAGGCCAGCCAACTGGAATGGGAAACGATATTCTTGAACGTACTTTAATTTATTTTTATTTTATATAAGGATTGAAAAATTATACTTTGTTTAAATTAATAAAACGTTCTTTAAACTCAGTATTTAATATGATTTGACAATATTGCAACAAAATCGGTTCATAAACCTAAATAAAATTATAAAACCAAATCACGAAGCAGGCAGGCAATATAGCAGGTAATAATCAGACGTATTGAAAACTTACTTCCTTTTGTTTTGAAGTCGGTTAAAAATGTATCTGAAAAAGTATTTCAAATATGCTATTGAAGTAGGGCGGAGGTTTAGTGTAGGTTATTATATAATGAAGTGTCTTAAAAAAATGTCTTATATAAGTCGCTTTTGAGGTAAATATTATTTGTCACCTTTTTAATAGTTTAAAGTCGATTCTATATTTTGAAAAAAAAAAACCTGCTTTTTAGTGATATTCATATTTTTTTATGTAATATAATAATATCTGAAAATATTAGTATTTGCTAAAACATATGTTATTGTATATCAATTTATGTATTATTAATTATGAATTTATGTGTAATGTTTTTAATACTTCATTATCATGGAATGGACTCCTTGTAAACTGTCAATGATTCGTTAAACAAATCAATAGTTTCTTGGAAATGATATGATATATATTCTAATTTTATCAAAGGTAAAATTTCCAACTAATATTCAAAATAAGACGTAAATATTGTGTCGATAAGGTCGAAATAAGCTTGTCTGGTTAGATTATGTACAGTGACTGTAATCTTATCAACTGATTATATCCAATGAAGGCGCGTTCAGTACTTAGTTTTAAAGTTACTGGCACCAATTCTGTTGCAAAATTGTCTTGTCAATTTATTTTTATTTATTTGGATAGCCAACAAGAATATACATGCTAAAGTTTTCAAAATTTGTAGTGTACGATTAGTTGGTGTAGTCTTAATAGTGATGATTGGGTGCAAAAAGAAATTCTATTTAGTTCGTCAGTTAGATAATAGAAATATATTAGATACGTCTTTTTTACTTCAATTTATCGAGAAATTGCTTAGATAACAGGCATTAAAGTTGAGGAGTGGGGGCTCGGTACGTCACAGTTTTGTACAAAATGTACCAAAGCGTGACGTCATGTGACATTTTAACTCCATGTATCGCCGTAATTTAATGATTACGGAAAAATAAATACGTGTTCAATATTTTTAAAGAGGGTCAAACAAACAAAAAATTGACGTTATCTCTATTATATTATATACCTGCAAAAGTAACAAAAATATAAAAATAACTAATTATGAACAAAGGTTTCAATATTGCAAATTGAGTTATTAACAAATAAAACATTTAACAATATTTTATATTGTAGTTTAGTATTTCTTTGATTAAATATGAATACGGAAAATTGTTGTAATATTTTTTTATGTTTTGTAATTGATGGTAAGGGAATGACTTTAGGACCAATAGATTGAGCAATTTTTTTTTTATCGAAGATTATACGTAACTTTTATTTATAAGTATTAATGAGAGAGATAATAAACATCTTACACCGGCTATAGTGGCCAATTGTTTCATCTACTTCATCATTTACGACCTCCGTAGCCGAGTGGTTAGCACGCCGGTTTCAAGGTGTCGCTATCTCTGAGGTCCCGGGTTCGATTCCCGGTCGGGTCAATGTAGAAAATGAACTTTTCAATATTGACTCGGGTCTGGGTGTTGTGGTACCTTCGTTGTCTCAGATACTCCATAATACGGGGTTTTAGCTACTCATCTTGGAATCTGAGCAATGTATGTGATGTTGTTAAATATTAAAAAAAATATATTTTGTGTTGAATGGAATGTAATGTGTGTGTATTTTGGCAAGAAATAATTTATGTATCTTTCATTCCTCTCGCAGGTTCGGCTGCAGCGTAGGGTTAAGAATTAGTGGATAGCCCTCTGTGGGCCATTGAGCAAATACTCGCTTGACAAACACACAAAGGGGAGGTCCGTATCACCTCGTCTCTCGCCAGGTGGCGGGATGTGCTTAAAGCATTTTGCCTACATGTAATAAAAAAGCTAAAGCGGGGAGTCCGTCCAATGAATTCTCCTCTTTACTAACTACCCGCATTATCGAAATTTTATGTAAAATTATTTCTTTTATTATATATAATATACTTATTACATTTTTGATTATCATTTGAAATATAGTTATTTTAATGTTTGCATTAAATGGCAAAGGATTTACTGTATAAACGAAAACGATCTTCGCCTATATAAAACGAAACAACAATTCCGTAGGTACGACCGTCTGTCTGAACAAGCAAGTCAAAAACTAATTTGCTAAATTTTATATGGCTAATTAATTAATCAATGAGGAAAGGTCTGGTGAATCTATAGACAGGATTCAAATGAAATCTTCAGGTATCGTGCATATTGACTGACGTAGTTATGAATGATTTATTATTTATTTATTTATTAAACTTTATTGCCCGATACAAGCACGGTACTGAAGATAAACTTAATGCTAATAGCATTCTCTCCCAGTCAACCTTTGGGAGAATGACAAATGCATTGGCGGAACCAGGGGCGTGTCGTTTATTATAAATATTTATCTATGAACACAACAATTCTATTCTTTGGAAAACTATATGATTATCAACATTGAGGCCAATCATATTTATGTATGTAGACGCATATAGGTAGTGAGCATTTATCGTTGTACACTAACTGATAAACGTTCTGATAATAAACGATTGCTTACACGCGATCAACATATTTAAAAAAAAAATGTATCTATAATACAAAATTTCACTCACCGCAAAGAATAAGTTGGCGAAAAACAATATGTATTTAACTAGGAATTCACCACACCCCATCTTGAAAGATTATTAATATCTAGATGTGAAAAACTAATAAATTTTCTAGTAAATTCTTGGTACGTTCGCAATGTGCGATATCAGAAGGTAAACTGTGTGCTGTATGTGCAGGGACAGCCGACAGATAACACACCTATTGGTACGTGGATTTTGTAGAATGCTCTGATGATTAAGAATCAGAACTTTTAACAAACAGAACACCACAAAACACTGTATAACTCTGTGGCGAATAGCGGCATAAAGCGTAAAAGGTATTATAAATTAAAATCGAAAGCCATTACGGCTATAGTAAAATTACAATCGTCGGCCTTGAGTACAGTTGATTCACATATTTATCAATGTTCACTATAAAATGGATATGACTGTGATAAAAATTGAATGTTGGCGCAATTTAGTGGTGACTGAATTTTATTTAGAAAATGGTATGAGTTCATGTTTTATCACAGTCTTACTCGTAAATATGATATAGTTTAATGCCCTAACTACCAGTTGCACAAATGCCCACCGAAATTGACAATAGTTTAGAGACATTACCGATACAAATTTTCTAATTTAGAACGTTCATTAGAGCTTAAAATCGTCATTAAACCTTAATTCCATAAGCAACTAGGTGTTATGAAGGTAGTTTTCTCGTTCTTCATTATTTTAGAATTTTTTGTTTCGTATTTTTTTATATTAACTACTTGGTTAATGTTGGTTTGTATTAATACAACTTACTTAGTTGCAAGAAAATTAAAAAATAAAGACAAGCCTTTAAATTAGACAAAAAATATTGCAACCAAAAAAATATTCAAATCGATTATGAATTTATATTTAAAATCAAGAAATCGCTATTAAAAATGTCTGCACTCTGCTTTAAACAAATTATTGGATTATCAGAGGACAACATAAGATCGGATCCAAAATTATTCTGGTCTTTTGTAAAATCTAAGAAGGCAACTGGTGATTTTCTTGTCAGAATGTTATACAACGAAGCTTTAAAAACTGGACCCGAAATTTGTGTTGGATTCAATCAGTATTTAAATTTAGTATTTGTCCGAACGTAACGCTCAATTTAATATAATTTTTGACCGGGTTTAGGAGGAATTAAAACAGGTTAATAGGTATGCGATGATTCTGATAATATTCACCTCATTTTGTTTCGTAAATGCGAAAAAAAATTATGACATCTCGTGACAATTGCATTACGTTGCAAGAGGATCTGAATGCGTTATATGCATATTGTCTCAAAAATCAACTGTTCTTAAATATTAATAAGTGTTATGTCATCTTTTACACGCGAAATCAGAATAAAGTTAACTTTGATTATTGTATGGATAACAACGTTGTCGACCGAGTGACCCATATCAGAGACCTAGTGATCATAATGGACTCGAATTCATTTAATTATCACGTAGACCATATTTTTGGTGCCGCTTTTCGCAGGTTGGATTTCGTTGTTAGAATTAATAAACCTTTTAAAAATACAGATACGCTAAAGACACTTTGTTTTTCTTTCGTTCGCTCTATCCTTGATTTCTGTAGTTTGGTACCCCTGTTATAACATTCACGATAACAGATTAGAAGAGGTTAAAAACAAAATTTGAAATCCCTTAATGATATAAATAACGTCAGTTAGATAACATACAATGAAGCACTGATGAAATAGCTTTCTCTTCGCAACCGATATATTATGTTTAATACAGCTTTTCTATATAAGATGTTATACTAATTTATCGACTTGTCAGAGCTTCTTTGCCATATTTAATTCTTCGATCGAGCTCATCATCCTGTACGCTCTAATCGCGACGCAGGTACAATTACACCCGAAACGCATTATTTAGTCGTTCCACGACTATATATAATAGAAAACTGCCAAACATATATTTCTTTAACACATCTCTAAAGCATATTTAAAAAGAACATAATTATAATTGTTTACAATAAGAAGATTGCTTAAAATTTTATTTTATTACATTGTAGTTGGTCTTCTATGATTTGAATTTTTTGTAACTCACATTTTTTTATTACTGTCTGATCATGTTTAAGCATGAAGGGACTTTGGTTGGGCTAAACTTGAGCACTATAGATCTTTTTAATTACATTACTGTTTGTGATTTTTTTTTGTTGCATGACGATTCGATGCCAAAAATGAAAAAGAAAGAAAGCCTTACGAACCACGGAAGTGATTGAGACAATAAATATTTGGTCACCCATCCTATGACCGGCCTTATTTCCTAAAGTTTGAAATCGGTTCTATTTTTCATGCGTATTACCACGCGAATAGATTTTACACATTTAGTATGGGACTGTTTACATTAACCCCGTACTGCCCGCGTGTCATGAAATTGTATAAAAAACCCAAACGTGGCGCGATCAAACGCGGAGGGGTGCCAGCCAGATATACAGGATCCACTTTATGTCGTTGTAAGGGAGGTCATTTATAATTATTAAATTGTATTATTCTGCAATAAAAAAAGTCGAAAAAAAAATTATGGTCAGAATCTAATTTTGTAGACAGTTTTGGAGAGATTACATTCCAGTTCGTGATAAATAATAATAAAACCCAAATAATGTTGACCAAAGTAGAAACTACAGTTTTAAATAAAAAACAAGTTTTTGTTGTTGTAAATTTGCAAACAAAAATATTATTTTTAATGCTTTTGTAAATTTGCAAAAGCATTAAAAAAAATAACTTCCGGATATACAATGTGCGGTGAAAAAAAATTATAAATTATTTTCCCTACGACCCCTTTAAGGATCTGGTTTAATTACCCATAACCCTGTATACATAAAAATATTAGAGATGTAACGGACAGTGGTTTAGCCGGATACCGGATATTCGGCATGGTCCGAGGCCGGAGCGCCGGATATCCGGCTCCGGTAATTCGGCCTTTATCACATTACATAACCCGATCAGTTTGATTTGAATCTATAGCGTGTCAAGTATAATCAGTGTTACCAAACTCTGTAATCTAGCGGATGGTAGAAATCTTTTTTCTTTATTCAAAATTATGGAATATTTTTAATTTGGAATACGGTAGAACTACCTTGAATATTAAGCAATACGTTTTGGGTCAGAGTAGAAGAAAACACGTTATTATTAATTAGAATCAGACAGTATAATTATTTCGGTATTTTTATACCTATTTTATTTATGCTTTTGAAACATTGTATCGATGGGAACAAAAACAATATAATTTATTCTGTGACGCTGTATGGCCTGTTGCGTTAAAAAATTGCTTTAATCGATATCGTAAGGAGTTAATTCCGTTTTTTAGTTTTTATGTCAACAAAAGCAGAAAGTTTGGTAATCATTCACCACAATATGCCACTTGTTCATTTTGAGTATTAAACTAATTATAAATGTATATATATAAAGTGGTATAATTTTCCTTGTGTAAAATAATGAGATTTATGTTTATTTTACTATCCGGTATCCGGCCGGATATTAGTACCCTATATACTTGTTTAAAAGTTCCGTGTAAATCTTTTGCTTAAAAGTTCCGTGACTCGACTGTTTTAAAAAGTATAGGTAATTAAAGATAACGAATACTTACTTGGAAATTATTTAAATGATTATTTGAATTATCCAGGTAGGCAATACCGTGCAAGTAATTTTTCTTATTGTTTAATAACTGTTAATAGTAGGCTTCTAACATGCAAGCTAGAATTTTGTATTTTTGTTAGTTTTTGCAATATAAGTAAACCACATAGGAGTGCAGTAAATTAATGTGTCATTGACATGTCCTGCACTTTGCAATTGTAATTATTGAACTAACTTTTAAACCGCTTGCCGTAAAATTGGGGGCCAAAATGCAATAAACATTTAGCGGGTGGTGTAGTTTGTGTTCGATAGGGTTTTCAATTCTCAGAGAAAACTGATAAATCAGAATGAATTATGTTCACAAATTATAATTATTCCTTTGATCGTGCTGTCATTGTGAGATTATGACACCACTATATCATTGTCTATTAAATATCTTATATTCTGGTATTTATTGTTATTACTTATAGGTATATGTATAGGTATAAGCTTCGAGAATCAAACCAAACTCAAAGGGTAATTTTTTTTATGGGGTAGGGGGCAGACGAGCAGACAGATCACCTGATGGTAAGTGATTACCGTCGCCCATGGACACCTGCAACACCAGAGGGGCTACAAGCGCGCTGCCGGCCTTGGAGGGAAGGGTTGAGGGGTAGAGGGAAGGGAATAGGGAGGGGTTGGGCCTCCGGTACCCTCACTCACACGACGAAACACAACGCAAGCGTTGCTTCACGTCGGTTTTCTGTGAGGCCGTAGTATCACTCCGGTCGAGCCGGCCCATTCATGCCGAAGCGTGGCTCTCCCACTTAACCCACATTATCATCATTAGCCTTTTTACATTCCCACTGCAGGGACTCAGGCCTTCCTAATGGCTGATTAAGGAGGATGGGCCATGCTCCTCCACGCTGGCTCAATGTGGATTGGAGGGCATTAATGACAGCCAATGAAGTATGGACCAACGGCTTAACGTGCGTTCCGAAGCACGGAGTAGATCGAGATAATATTTGTTCCAATCCCGTGACCGACCCTTGCGAAAGTTGCTTAACAACAACAATCCACCAAGCTAATCGGTGTAACTCTAAGGATAAAAATTTAATATAATTTTGCAGTCGTCCATTTTAGGTTTGAAACATTTTCGGCTTGAGGTATTTATGTTTAATTATGCTAGACGCGTATCGTATCGTTTCTGGTGATAACGCCTAAATCTTTATTTAAGCAAATCTCAAATGAGGACTAACTATTATATATCTATAATATTGCATTTCGAAATGACTATTCTTTTGTGGAGGAGGACTAAAAAATATTTAATTGAATAACTTGGCCATTTTGAATATTAATTCGCCAATAAGGCTTTAGTTCTTTATTAAACACTCACATAGACGACACATTACTCACTTTTACATCACATCAGTCTCACGACCCTCAACTCGATGTAACGACACGCAAGTTGACGTCTCATCAGCGTCACGACACTCACTTTGACTTTACATCGGCTTCACGACACTCAGCGAGGTGTCATGACACTCATATCAATGTTGCATGAAGTTCTTAGACACGTTGAAACATACAGGCTTACGAGCCACTTGGCCACGGAAGTTGCTATTATTATCACACCGTTAGTAGTGCAGTCGCAGTTCATAATCTCGGAATTAAAAATATATTAATAATTTTGACTTATTGAATAGTGCAAAATTACTATGGGCGTAGTTCGTAGCGTTTGCTTAACTTTTATTTTAGTCTAAACCAGCTTTTCCCAAAGTGGGCGATAAGGCCCCCTTGTGGACGCTGCAGGACTAAATGCGGGGTGGAGGATAAGAGATACAAGAATGTTGTGTAGCTTAGGAAACGTTGAAGGTCCGCCAGGTCTCAAGTTAACTTTTACGGGTGATAGTAAAGGTCTCGATTACAATGAATTTTTAATCTCCTCTAATATCACTCATAAAAAATAATTTAATTTGAAGTTATAGTGGTTTTAAGTAGGTGAAAATAATGTGGTGCTAAAAATATTTTTTTTATCAAAGTAGGCAATAGACGAAATAAGTTTGGGAACTCCTGGTCCAAAGAAATCAAATGTGTAGTTTTATGTAGATGTAGAGTTCGCAGCATCATTGATTAAATATAGAAATTTAACCTTAAAAAAGAACGAAAATAGCTTACCTTGACTGTGGATATTTCCTACCTACGATAACATTATTGAACAAAATTTGCACCAGAATCATTATTATTATATTATTACGATTCTTCTCTCTCCTGGTCTTTGCATATCACCAACGTTAGTCGCGAAATGTATGCTCCTACGGGTTCACCGAGAAGGTGGAAAAACCTGCTCCCACTAAAGACAAAAATTGAGTTAGCACAGAGTTTGCTTCTACCGATTTTGGACTACGATGTATGCGTTATTGATCTTGGTGAAGAGTTGCTCAATCAACTCGAACGCTTACAGAATTTAAGTATTAGATTTGTTTACGGCTTACGTAAGCACGACTACGTATCCGAATTTAGGCGTAAACTTGAGTGGCTCCCTATTAGATTACGTCGCGAAGTACATGTACTTACTCTCCTTTACAAGGTTCTTTATGATCCATCTACACCCTCCTACTTAAAGGAGCGTTTTCACTTCCTTGGATCAAACCAAAATCGTGAATTACGATCTGAGTCCGATAATGTGTTGGAGATTCCTCTTACCAGGTCGGGGTATTACCAAGTCGTTTACTGTTAGAGCTGCCCGGCTATGGAATTCACTGCCATCTGACATCCGTAAGGCGAAGTCTGTGGTCATCTTCAAAGCGACATTGTATAAATTTTTCCTGGCCTAATTTTAGTACCTACTTAGTATTTTTTTGTGGGTAATGTATCTTTACATATTCCGATAATTGATGTAGGCTTTTAGCGATAAGACCGCCTGTGCCCACTTAAAACCATAAATTCTCTGTAAATTGTTGTTATGATGTGTGCAATAAAGTGTTAAATAATAATAATATTACTTCATAAGGAATTTTTAAGTACATATTCACTATGTAATTTCAATAAAAACTTTGAGCTTCATTGATCTTATTAACTAGCACACTTTATAAATCTCTCCGTGTGGAGCGTAACGTTAGACAGTCTACATACTTCCTAGGCACATGCACGTTTAAACTAACCACATAATAGTTAAAGTTGTTTATTCTTTCCACACAGGTTATTAGAATTTAAGGTGCTGATATTTTTACTAGAAATCTGTTAAATACTCAGTAATATGGGGCCTCCCAAGCCTCGCTACTCTACAGCAAAGATAAATACACGATTTTGTATGACTGTACGTTTGCGTTCAAATAATGACGGATGACTCAGTGTCACGATCGTGACGTCGCTGTGACGTAGTGTTATACGTATACCTTTGGGATTTGGAATCTGTTAAATTTTAAAGATATTTGAATGGAAATACCTATCTAATCTCTTTGTCGTAAATGGAGGATAATCGGTTAAACGTACGATTTACCAGTCTAACCAGTTCGTGTTTACTATCAATATATGTTCAACGTCAATGTTTAATTGACATATCATATTTAGAATTGAAATAACTGTATATTTAATTGCGAGATTTATGTTAACAAGATTTTAGTTTTAGGTAGATATCAAAAAACATACATAATCAAAATTTCAAATCAAATCGAATACTTTATTGATCTTGTAACAGAGAATGTTACACTAAGTTATCATTTATATACATTGATTATCATTTTCAAATATAACATTATAACTATCTTTTCATTATTATTATTATACATAAAATAAATTATATTTTTTAAAATAATTTACAATTTTAATATCAATATTACGGTGGCACACAATTTCCAAACAAATTATTATTTAATTAATATCACATTATTCCTATGTTAGTATTATTATTTTATTAATTTAACGTAACTAAATGGAATAACCGAATATAAATATTTCTAAAATCTAAAAAAAATTGGATTACTTCAACGGCATATTGATAAAATCTTTAAATGTATATAAGGCATTTTTTCAAAGAATATGTTTCTTTTAAATTTATTATTATCTAAATTTGTTATTGATTTTGGTAATTTGTACTTTGGTAAGTCTCACTTTAAGAATTAATTTATGTATCTTTTTTAATTAAGATTATATTTCTGTATATCTCGATTTTCATGTATATCTAATAAGCATTTATACATATATAATGATATATAACAGTCATGATTTTATTTTTCACAAAATGCTTCCACGTTGATTCCCTTCTTTTAATTTCAGCTAAAAATCTTATTGCTCTTTATGCTATGAGAACTCTCTTAATATTAACGCTACTTCCTCATACTAATATACTGTAACTAATTAAATAATATACATACGTTCTGACAGAGCCGATGTGACTATAGGTATACCACAGGGTTCCATGTTAGGTCCTGTTTTATTCCTCGTATACATAAACTATCTCACTAGTAATCTACCGGATTAGGCTTTACGAATCTATATGTAGATGACCCTTTTTTGGAGTAAAAGAAAATACATAGAACATGTTAGATGAAAGGATTACGAAAATATTCAAAATCTTAGAGTAATTTTTAGCGAATGGTATTATGCTTTGTTCAAACAAAATTACTATAATTAAACATCTAAAATTATGATAACGATTTATAAAACGTAATACCTAGTAGTGGTTATTACATATTACTTTTTTAGTACTAAGCCAGTTGATAGTTTGCGACAGTTCTGTCAGTTGCACAAACCTCCATTAAGGTTCAATAACAACTTTAAGCTCTAATTAATGTTCTTAATTTGAAAAATTGTATTGGTAATATGACATCAAACTAATAACCCTTTGGGAAACTTGCTGCCTGCCTCTTATTACCGGGAGACCTTATCATACATTTCCGTCCTCATAAATAAATGCAACAACGCATTCATGATCTCGCAGCCATGTCTAGCGTAAGTTTATTGCGCAGTCATATTATTATAACATAAAAGGTAATACGACATGACATAATTTAATTTTATGCAAATGTTTTCCGCAAACCGTATTAAGAACAAACAAAGACTTTGTTTCGGATGTGTATAGGAGAAACGAGGAAAAACTCTAATAATCGGTACAGTATTTTTTGTTACGTTAAAATGTACACACAGCAGCGCATAGGATTACCACTTAATGTCTTAATTTTAATCAACAAATAAATGATAATAGTCAACAGATAGATATAAAATCGATCGGAGAAAACTACGAGCTTCGCAACGAAAAAGTCTATCAAAATTTTCTTGTTCAAATAAGGTGAACGTCCATTTTGCGTTGCGTGTCGTTGCGAGTCATGCGGCCGGTGCGGGCGAGCTTACACAGCTGACGACCACCTTTAAATTACATCTCAAATTTTTCATGCTAATGTTACATAGACAATTATCAATTTTCCCAACAATATTAATTAATTTTTAAAAATTATACTTATTTTTTTTTATTATATCGATTACAAGTAGCCAGTTAGATAATCTCTCATGTAAGATGTAGTTTTGAAATTTCGATTATAACTTATTTGACTAATAAATCAAATTATGTTTTGACCAGAATCAATTTGATTATAAATACAATATAATTTCAACTTATTTAACTTCTTCTTTCTTAAAATATTAAGAATGTGAGAATTTTACAAAATTTCAAAAAGTATATTTTCGGTTTTTATTGTATTCGTATAATTAAATTATTTTATTATTGTGCGTATCACGTATGGAAATTTAAAAAAAAAATTCTTTGTATTTCTTTTTGTATTTTTTTTGTTTGCAAATTATATTATCACACAAATGATAGGACCATTATAAGAAATATATTGAAGAGTCATTAATGCTTATTTATTTAGTTTATAATAATCAGCTTGTATAACCCACCATGAGGACACAGCGAAGATTGGTGGGTATCAGTAAACACTGAGTGTAAACAATTGCAGATACAAATATATAATTATATGTTTGGTCATCCCTTAACCGGTCAATCACTACACTATGTATTGTTCCTACCTTTACTCGAATATAAATTCCGAGTTAAAATAAATTAAGTCACAAACTATAATATTTGAAGTGGGTTTATTAAATTAATTACCAGTGACGCGTCACTGTCTAGCGCATACGCACTCACTCAAATCTGTCGTATAGGCGTCGGTATTTCAAGATCATTGCTGTGTTTTGCGAGCACGCAAACCAGTTACCAAAGCGACGTGTCAGCGGCAGCACGCCGATCAAAACTCATAACTAAATACTTATAAAAAAAATAAGTAAAATAATTGCCCGTTATAAAAGAAAACAGTGAATAGACTGTGATATTCAATTGTCTCAGCTCGTTAATTGTTTTGAATTTGGAATCCAGTTGTAAGTGATAAATCTTCAAAATGTCAAAAGATACAGTGCTGGATATGACATTACCAAAACCACCCAAAAATCCAAAATTGATCGAGACATTGGACACATTGAACCCACCGAGAGACAATTCGAAAGCGATCGTCCTCATGGACAGGACACATGGCGCGGATAAGGTGAGATAATTAAACGTTATAATGTCCCTCGGGTCGGGCAAAGGAGTTTGAGTCATACTAACATCTTTTCGGTTTCAATTTTTCTTTGTATTATACTGAAGGCAAGTCGAAGAAATCTTGTAGTAGGTATGTAAGATATTTGAGATAGTTTCGCAAAATATTATCGGACCCTAACACTAATCTATCCTGTCATTATGTCAGATTATGATGGTATTCAAGAGTAGTAGGGCTCCGCACCTCAAAATAAAAAACGGATTTGTATCACAGCTGATTTTCTCTAAAATTCCTACACATTCTTTAATACTTACATCTAAGTTGATAACCCACCCGAAGACCGTTGTGCTGTTTAAATAAACAAATTTTAAAAAATCTTTTGGAGTGTAAAAGTGTAAAAATCTTTCGAAGTAAACAATTAAAAGGACTTGTTGTAACTACCTCAAATAGCACACATTTTATTATCAACTCAAGATAAATAATTTTGAAGCTGAAACTTTGAGAGATCAATTTTTACGAAACTTGCGCGGTTGGAATAGTATTTGGCAGCGTTAAAAAAGTTTGTTGAAGTAAAAGTGCAGAATTCTAATATGTTTTTATAATAATGCTTACAAATACATTCACGTGCGTACATCAACAAAACACAACACACCCTATAAAACACTACACAAGTTTGTTTACTGAATGTCAATTAATCATAAAGATGACATTAATATAAGTTGTTAACATTGTTAAAATTTAATGATTGAATGAATTATCAATTAATAGTTGAAACCACTTCATTCATATTAGAAAGCTTGAATGTTTTCAAGATCATAATAGATCTTGCGTGAAAAGTAGCGTGCAAAAATGTGTTTGAGGTTTGTGTTTGAGAAAAAATACATTTTTTTGTTATACTGCTGAAAACTTCATTGTAGATAGAATTACAAATTATAATGCAATCAACATTTCATATTAAGCGGTCAGTGTGCTTGAAAATTTTGAATGTATTGTTTGTTGTTGTTGTTAACTACAGAAATAATGGTCAATTTCTATGTTAGACTTTTAATTTATTATAAATCACGCAATAGGTCTCCACGCGGTATTCGTTTTTGAAAATTAAGTTTATTGATGAACTTATATCACCGTGAGTACGCGGCCATTACTCACTATCAGTAATAAATATACTATAAATATTAATTTTTGTTTAACAAAACTTTGTAGGTCTTGATATTATCACTGATACGAATACATAGACACAGGATTTGTAAATAAACAAACTATACAGATATTCAACATGAAATACAAACCCAAAACTATTATTTACACGTTGGTCTGATAGTCCTTCGTTATTAATATACTAGCTGTTTTCCCGCGCCTTCCTCCTTGTATATTATAGCCTATGTTACCCGCGTATGATATGGTTTCCAGTAGGTGTAAGAATCGTCATGATCGGATCAGTATTGCCGCAAAAGCAAACAAATTTTTTGGGGTACTTCAACTTCACTCTATTCAAATATAACAATCTGTCATACACAAGGATCATAAATGTATATATATAATTAATTAAACCGAGGAGAATTTTTAATTGGCGACAATTAACATTCTCAGTTTTTGAATAAACCAGATACCGTAATTGGACCTTTAACAATAACTATAATATGCAGCCAACATCTACAGAGGATTAGTTTGTTTCATACAGCAATATTACATAAAAAAGGTTGAGAAATATTGACATATGTAGGTATGACATATATTGGCTAGCCACATCCTGTTCTCCTCTATATATGCAAACGGTTGACTGATTTTTAAATGTTTACATAAAAATTAAGTGATTGCTCAGGGATTTCCCGAACTTGCATTAAAAAAGCTATCTACACCTGCACGACAGAGATAGAAAAGAGTTAAGTTTTTACTCTCAACACAGATTAAGAATTAATTCATTAATATTACTAAAACTATTTCAATGTTAGTAATTACAGTATTATTAATTAACACCAACAATATTATTAATTAGGAAAAATCGTAGATCATTTAATAAAATAAGCTTTAGTTTTATAATTACATTTATCAATTACCTATGTACTTAATTAGTAATACGGACGTAATTGTGATAAAAATCCGACATTTCCATAAAGTTGAACAAATTCAGTCGGTCAGATTTTCCACAGATAGTTTAATATCCATCAGGAAAGAAATAGAAAAGCGGTTTGTTTTAATGAACATTTAAAGTTTTTCCTGCTCTCTTTGTTATACAGCTCTGTTACTTGAAAGGAGCTTTTATTAAGAAATTATTTGTCGCATATTGTAATCTTAATGTACTTTGATAATAATACAACTTTTGAATAATGTGTATTTTATTGATATTCTCAATTTATTTAGAAATTTTGGTATCATTAGAGTGCGGTATCTACTACTGCTACTTGTAGCATTCATTACACATAGTTTTTGTGAAAATGACTGAAATGAAAAAGATGATCGTTAAAGTTTTTGTAAAACTCATGACAACTGTGAGATAACTATTTTAAATTGCACACAAGCGAGGCCGGACATGTTGCTAGTAAGTATCTGTTATAATTATCATTAATGAACTTATTGAACAGCATTGTTATTGAAAGAATACAAACTAGCGTATTAGTCAAGGCTTTAGGGTCGTTGCCCCCGCCTACATGGGTTGACTCAATATCTTAACATAATGTAACGCAATACAGCTTCCTACAAAAACCATACGATCACATCACACCGTAAACATTATTATTTATAGATTTGATCTCACGCGGCCGTAATATCTCTATGAAAAACTTAAAACTTATCATAATGATTTGAAATGGTGAAGGATTGTGGCATAATTTTCAAACGACCAACATCTCAGTCTTATGACCACGCATTTAAAATACACATAACATAGTGATGTGAAATAAATCTGCAATCCATAAATTTTACGTGCTTTAACCTATTCATAAGTAACTTGAATAAATAATGTTCCGTGTGAAACAAATTATGTATTAAATTCTATTTGATTTCAATTATCAATTATTATATTTGATAAATTTTGCATTTAAAATGCGTAGAAAAAAATAAAAAAAATATTTTAAATTAAAAAATATATTAAATATTAAAAAATATATTAAAAATTAAAATTTCCCAGTCCCATATCGGGATGCCAGGGACAAAGTGGATTTTTAAGCATTTGTCAATAATAATATATTTTAATTTTTAATATATTTTTTAATTTAAAATATTTTTTTATTTTTTTTCTACGAAATAACGAGCCCGGAAAAAGAAAAGTTTTCCCAAATATCAATAACACGTTCCTGGATGCAAGATACTCGTACTCACAAGTTATTTAAAACAGCGCTCGAGACATTTTCTTTAGAACTACTTATTTATAGATACAGTTTTCTTTCCTGTTACTTCTTACAAACACATTTTTGACAATAGTATTTTATTTATATATTATCCTATGCGCTGTTTAATTAAGCAAATTTTCCTTGCCAAATAATAAAAATAACGTTTGATCACACTCCATGTTAGATCAACTGGAGCAAGATGTTCAGACACAAATTACTAGCTTTCCGCCAGCGGCTTCGCCCGTGTGTTCTACATTGAAACCTGCCTTTTGAATCACCCTATCTATGAAAAAAAAAAACCGTATCAAAATCCGTTGCGTAGTTTTAAAGATTTAAGCATATATAGGGGTATAGGGAGAAAGCGACTTTGTTTTATACTATATAGTGATTAAATATGTAAGCAAAGCAGCATTGAGATATTCTTAAGGGTTGGTAAACAGTTATTTCCCGCTCAAAAAAAAAATCAATTTTGTAATCTGATTTGTAGTTCGAAGATACAGAAAATTACTGAAAAGCAAATGGTAAATTGCCAATTACGGTCATTTTTACTATAAAACTACATAATGACGAAGCGGGAAATCGCCACGAGCCCAGCTGACCGCAACTTGTACTCGGTAAATAATTACGATATGAATTTAATTTGAAATGATTCACTTCTTACCTGTAGTGGAGCGCCAATAGGAATAATTAAAACAATCTAGTACGATGTATGATAATACGGAAACAGAGAAAGACTTCAAAAGAAAAAAATACTTAAGAATAAAGAATGAAATGGGAAAATTATATAAAAAATAGATTAGAGCTATTGTTATTTAATAAAACAAAAAGTATCATACTATAATACAATACATTTCGTATTCCATATATTAGAATGTTTTTAATTATTACTTATACAGACTAGTTGTTATCCCACGAAGTCGCCCGCGTAAATTATGGCACCCGTGTATTAATGAAGTTACTTTAAGAAGACATTTTCCAGGAATCACCGACTACATCATTATTAAGCATGGAGCACACGTATTTTTCTGTAATTAACTCATTAAGAACATCGGGGTCAAGTTCAAAACATAATGACTATGCGTTGACAAATCAAATATGTACACAAATTAGGGCTTGTCACAAATAACACAAGTACATTGTGCGTGATCTAGTTTAAAAGGTCCATTGTAATTATTAAAATAGGGACAATTCGGAGTTTAAATCCGGAATTTACTGTAAGTAGTTGATGACTAAGGTAATGAAGCCGTAGAAAAAAATCTCTTTTGTATTAGTTACAAGTGACAGGCTCTTATTTTAACGTCACGTAAAAACAGATGAAACAAAGAAGTGCAGTAAATTGTAACGAACTAGATACCACTACATATTGGCTCAATCTACGTTATGTTTAAAACGTTTTAATTTTATTAGATAGATAGATAAATTCTTTATTTGCATCATGCATTCACAAAATTTTACAATTTGGATTTTACACAATATTAGAGTCTAAAACAGGACAATCAAACATTATGTGTACCGCAGCGATGCAAATGGGCGAAAACTCAGTGTGTATTTACTCAAAGAGCAAAGCACTGATTTTCAGTTTTTACCAATTAGTATGATTGTTACTCGTACTTTTATCATGGATCAGGCCACGCTAATAGTATAGCTCTTAATTTCAATGATTTGTTATTTCACTCAATTTGAATCTATTTTTTACTTCAGAAAGAATGTATAGTCGACGTTCCAAACTGTACAAACTGCAATTTCTGTAGTAGGTTCCATCTTTTTATTTTTACGGTGTATCAGCCTTAAGAATTATTATTATTTTATAGAGGCATATAAAAAAATAATAATTTCTATGTATTTGTATCCGATAAACTCTGAACCTGACTAGATATTTTAAAATAAAGTTGCATTTTATATAGGTTTCTTTTTATATTTATATACCCGATGAAACCATCACTGCGGAACACAGCTTTTACTAATATATTTACAATAGAAATGACAGGAAATAGGCAAATTCGTTTTTCTTTCATTAATACGCCTATTAGATTACATCACCTAATTTGGTCAGTTCCCAAATTAAGTAGCATTTATATTATGGAATATTATGTTCCACCCATTCAACCGGGAATCAAACCCAGGACTTCAGAAATGGCGACGCCTTAAAACTAGCGAGGGAACTATTTTTCCTGATTCTTTTTTAAATCAAAGCACATAAACTATATGTAGGTACTGTGCAAATCATATCGTTATTATCACTCACTGTTACGAAATTAATTTTATCAATTATGGATGTACAAAAAAATATTGTCAGACGTCCGTTGTTTTATTTTAAACCCGGCGTAATATTAACTCAAATAAACGATATCTATAATAAAGCTCTTTCGATCAAATCATTCGTTTTTATCTGTCTGTTTGTCTTACTTAATCTTCCTATTGTCTATCTACTTAAGATAGATAGATTACAGGAAGACTGACAGAACTTAATTAGTTCACCAATAGCAAAAGTAACAAGTCGACATCAATAATGCCGGTAGCTCTCCGGAAGCTCAGTCGGAAGAGCACTCAGTTAGCGAAAGTTCGGTCCAGTCTGGTACCTAAGTCAGTAAAAAAAAGTTTTTTACGGAAACATATATATTAATGTTAGATATGAATTATTTTTTAAGAACATTGTAGAGTGAAAAACTTTTATGACGCTATAAGATCTGTCTGTTAAAAGAAAGACTCTAAAATTATAGTTACCTATTTCCCGGGTGCTTAGTGGCAAACGGACCTACATTGAAATATGGGTCTTTTGTGTTAATTAAAAATTATATAATCTACGTTAGTCATGAACGTTGGGGAAAACCAATCCTGCCACGTCATCAGACCTCCCGGTCCGACGAAGACCTTGTAAAGGGACTTCGCTTGAAATCGGCAACTACCAGTGACTAATTACTTATTCATTTTAATTAAAAAAAAATGTTTTACCTATTCAGTTGTATATTAATCATTGATTCAATATAATATTAAAAATATGCCTCAAGTTTACCCTAGGCTCTAATACTACATCAGTTTTCATCACAATGTTTTACCTATTCAGTTGTATATTAATCATTGATTCAATATAATATTAAAAATATGCCTCAAGTTTACCCTAGGCTCTAATACTACATCAGTTTTCATCACAATCGGTTTTAGAGTATGAAACCTATTTTATTTCCAATTTGAAAAAAAAAAGTTTCTCTATATTTTAATACTCAATGGAGATGGAACAACTTCTTACTATTATATTTGGCTTATTTTATGTTGTTCTAGGATCTGAACGGCTTCGGTAATAATAAGAAGGAACAGCTCCTGCCGACAGCACCACTTTTAACAGATGTAGCCAAGAAAGACGCTTCAGACGCAGGTAAAACTATTAAAATTGAACTTTAATGTATTTTTCTCATTATTTTGGCACAAATAGCGATTAAACAACATTTTAATGTTGAAGATTACAATATATTGTAGACAACGAGTTTAATTACTAAATACAAAAAGAACAGTGTGGGTTACAAAGTAAATAACAGCTTGTAAACATTTGTAGTTTTTCCAAAATTCCAATAGCTTATATGAAGGATAAATAAATAGGATAAATAAAATGAAAAGTTGATCATTGTAACATATTACAGATTTTAGACTTAATGCTAGTTGAGGTATTACAAAACAGGTCAATATTGGAAAATTGTCTTTTACCTATACGTTTTAAGACAATACAATTGGTATATAACTATAGCAGGTACAGATTTTGGAACATATATTTTTTATTTTTATTGAACGTGAAAAGCGTGATCTCTTAGTTATAACTTATATTTCAGTACTCACACACACTTCATTTAATAGGGTTTCAGCGCTTCTAATATATGAAGGCTTTGACAGGCTCTATGGTTACCAGTTTTGTTCTCTTAATTTTCTTTTAAAGAAATCTACTATCTAACAATATTTACCAAACGTGTTTTCACTACATATACATTTTTAGATACGGTCTTATCAATAATTTAAAAACATATAAAATGAATGTCTCCACTGTTAAACTACAGACCTCAATGGATATAATAACAAAATAGGGAGAGAAAACACTATTAATTACTAAGGTGTGAATCGATGGGTGTTAACGAAAAAAAGAGCAGCCGAGATCAATGGTTTGGAACTTGCCAGCATGGATGAGCTCGAGAAGCTCGGGATATATAAATTTCGGTCACCCATCCTACGACCGGTGCTTGTGAAAATTGCTTATAACTTATCTGCAGACTGAATTGCGCGCTATCGAGTGTTTTGCAACCACTTTAACCGATATTTTTCTTTTTTCTATAGATGGTGAAAAGATCGAAATGTTACCCAACATGGAGGACAAAAAGCAAGGAGGGTATGAGGATGATTTAGAAGGTATATTAATCAAAGCAAAATATACAAAATATTAAAAGGTGTCGTAATCGTAAAGCCAAAGGACCGTCCCTGCTAGTTCGATTCCAATGAGATAAAAAGGAAAGAGGATATTAGGCGCCAAAAGCGGTCTATTGTTCTCCCGCGACTTCGTCAGAGTTAATTACGAGTATGACCTACATATATGTCAAAAATCAAAATTATTAATTCAGCCTAGGCTGTTACAAGCACTTGTGAAAGTCGAGAGCTACGCCAACGGTTCGTAAATCTACGGCGGGAGACCTTGTACCGAGAAGAACCGGCAAGAAACTCGGCAAGGGCTGCTTTTTTCTCCATGTTTTATTGTCACACTAGCTTTCCGCCAGCGGCTTTGCCCGCGTGATCCCTAGGGAACTGTTTATTTGGGTATCGATTCATAGCATGACACAGATATAATAACAACTTGAATATTAAACAATTATTGCTGTTATCATAGCATAGTTTTTCATACATATATTTTTGGTATCTTGAACCGTTTTCGCAGCGCACGCAACGGAAGCCCTCAAGGATGAATAATTTTCCCCGTTTTTTCCACATTTTCCATTATTTCTACGCTCCTTATAGTTGCAGTGTGATGTTATATAGTCTAAAGCCTTCCTCGATAAATGGTCTATTCAACGCAAAAATATTTTTTCAATTCGAACCAGTAGTTCCTGAGATTAGCGCGTTCAAACAAACAAACTCTTCAACTTTATAATATTAGTACAGATATGTAGTTTCCCGTAGGTGAAAGACTTTTTAAAACGGGTCATGTAGTTGCGGAGCCTAATTACAATTATTGTAAAAGTGCTGTTTGACTCCTAATCATAATGAATGATAATGACTCATATGTTAATAACTTTTTCTTATAAAAAGTGAATAGCGATAACCTTTCGAAAGAGTTACACGTTATCTAAGTTTGTCGTTTAAAGGATGTGGTCAATTATAATGATAACGCGCCATTTTACTGGGAAGCGGTTACTTTGTCCTACTTTAAATATATAACAATATTAAATTAATGCATAATATACGTATGTACCTACTTAAGTAATTATTGGCTTAAATAGGAACAACTAAACAACTTCATTTATTTATATACAAAGTTCCTAGGTATACCTACTGACAGATTAAGGTCTTCTTCAATTGAATGTCAAGTGAATAAATTAATTTCTACATGTAAAATGAAAATAAAATTAATGAAAAATGTCCCAGATGAAGGTCAACACATGACGGCGAAAATTAATATTTAATGTAGAATAGAGTTTCTCAAAATTTGCTCCGCAAAGTATTTTCGTGGGTACCCGAACATATGGTTTGCGGTATGCGAAGACATTTTTTTTTATTTTAATTTAACAAGAAATAGCTTAGGTAACGGGCATTAAAGTTGAGGAGCGGGGGTTCGGTTCGTCACAGTATTGTAGAAAATGTTCAAAAGCGTGAGGTCATGTGGCATTTAAACTCAATATATAGCCGTAATTTAATTATTAAGAAAAAAATAAAAAATACTTGTTTAATATTTCTCAACAATCCACCTGACAGACAAACAAAAAAATTGTCGTAATCCCTATTCAAGCACGTATGGGAATGAATACCTTTTATGATGTTTTATGAAAATAGCAGCCGCGGACGTCGGTGTCCCATATAGAGTTGTTTGAAAATGGAGAAAAGTAGATAAGAAAAAATAAATTTCATGTGGTTTTACAAGAAGTATACCGTGTTTGTTCCAGACGCTATCGGATTCAGGATGGGCAATGGGTCGGTGCACACGACGCGCGAGGGCGGCGCGGAGGGTGACGATGGTAAATGGCTGTGGCACGATGCCGACGAGACGGATTACCCTGGTGACTGGGCGTTGATGGCCGACCACGTGCCCGCAGAACGAACACCTCGTTTTCTATTAAAGACCTTATTGGCACTAGAAATAAAACGTGATGCTAAAGGAATTAGTTGAAATACTTGTGTTAAGGCCGTCATAAACAGTATTTGAATTCTAGACGCCTGGGCCGGCAGGGGCCAGAAATAATTACGTTTTATAACATTCGTCGAGTATGAAAGATAACCCTTCCCAACAATTATCTATTTCATAAAATTTTCCAAGAATATTTTTATAACGTTTGATGTATCTATTTCGAAAGTAACACTGATATTTTTGTAGCAGCTCTAGTTTATAAGATTTTTCGAACTACCCACATATTCAGTGAATTTCAATTAGTGTATTATTATTTTTTTCACAATAATAAACGAAGAAGAGAAATTTTTTAAACGAACCAGTTTTTGTGACCAGACAGTTTTTGTGTTATTTGTTGTTTGCAAAGTATCGTAAATCGATCACAGACTTCGTTAAATCTGCATATTGCACGTACTTTGGAGTGAATAATCACAATCTACAAAAGTCATGAGTGCCAAAATTGTTAAATGGAAAAAATATGGTTAAATGGAAAATGACCTACATTCAAGACACCCATGATCTAGCGGGAACCTCGTAATGATTACATGATGATTTTTATTTTTGTATGGTTAACTTTACGGGTATATATTCTGCAGATCAGGATAAATGGTCCTACCTAACATTATCTGCTGCCTCATACACACTTTGACCAATTACTAGCGCCAGTACTATCGACATCATCAGCAAGCTTGGTATTATGAAGCAAATTTTCAAGCTATTAGTAAAGATGGCGAATGTTGTATCTCCCGAAAAAATTTCCTCGACTGAGCTGAATTCAGTCATTTTCGATAAACCACAAATCAGATAAATTTTGTCGAATCTATGAACGAATTTGAAATAAGAACCTAGAAATATTTCGTTCAGTGATTAGAACTTTTCTAGGGGATCATAAATCGGAAAATTATTTACAATAAGTTTACGACATGTTGTCTGTTTTTAAACGTCTACCTGTCAAGCTCAGATAACATGAGCAAGGCGAAAGGTTTGACCAGGATATTCGCACGATGGAAAAACATTACCAAGGGAAGTGGGATATACATCCACTGCTGACTGTTGGAATCTGTCGGGATATAATACAGGCGCTTCATAAAAAAATCTAATACAAAAACAATTTTATTGAAAGTTGGAGGAAAAATACAAATAAAGTGTGTAAAAAGTCATATATTTATATTAATTTATGATCTATATGTAAATTTAAAACTAGAGCTGCTAAAGAAATCAATGGTATTTTTATATCCAGTACACTTACTAGTTACTACAGAACTCACTGTAGTAAAAGTAAACGATTATTTATTTAGGTAATTATTAAATATCTTGTCGACTTCTCATCTACGATCAAAAGAACAAACAGAAAACGAGGTGTAATAATGTAACTAATACCAAATTCATTTTCGTAAAACCAACACTCGAGACTTTATTTCAGCGGTTGTATTTGAAGAGGCAGCGTTAACCACTAACTATAGAGGCGACCTTCAAATTGCGGCCTCACAGATATTCTTAAAATAGTTCTAGTGTGCATTATTTGTGTATGCCAGTAATTACACAACACAACATCTAGTGATGATTAATTTACTGCCGAATGCCGCACCGTACGGCAGCATAGAACTTACCGTACCATTTATTAGAATTAAGTGTTGTTTTTATGAGCATGATGAATTATCTAATGAATTTAATCGATGAGTTGATAAAATCCAAAATTGCATGTTAGATATACTTACAATTGGCGTCGTTCTACTGGCACGTTGAAATTTTAGATCTAAGCGGCATGTTGGTTTTGCATGGTCGATTAGCATGTTAGGATTACTGTAAACCTGTACCGTTTATGTAAACGTTTAATAAATGGATGGTATGGTAACTATTGATGGTTAGAAAGCGACTAATAAATCTATAATGAGGTATTTTTTTTGATTTTCAGATGGAAGACTCGCTGACGACAACAGAACTGTCATTGAAGAAAGTGTAAGTTTACAGAATATAAAACATTTGGTATATTACTAGCTAATTGATTAAATGTAACCGCTTGACACAATAAAAGAGGGAACAGATTTATAAAGATAAAATATAAATATGGACTTAATAAAGTACCTTGCGGCATTCCCTCGTGAAAGAGAAGTAAAAATAATCTATTTTTATCATTAAGTGCTACCAGTGACCTCTAGTCTGATTATTAAATGAAAAAATAAATAAAAGTCCTTCTGATCATACAGCCAAACGTGAACACGTATCAGCAGAAGAAGAACCTGGCACAGGGCATGATGGATCTAGCCCTACTGTCGGCTAACGCCAACCAGCTGCGCTACGTCCTGGAATCATCCTCTGCAGGACATGCCTACTACTACTCCAGTATAACACTGATTTCTTTTAGTATCATTCTCCAAGTATGTAGTTTGAAAGTTACTTTTAAATTATATTAATGAAAGTAAAATCTGATACGACTCGTTTCCAGTAGAAAGGAAATATCCCAATACAATTAGTTAGTTTTCGTAGTCCTTCATTTGATGGGCTGAATTGTCTGGCAAAGCAACCACAAACGGTATATAGCTCTGATACATATTGACTTGAGCCTTTGATACATTACAATCGGTCATCGACTGTCGAATGCAGATTTTATTTTGTTTACCAGATATTTTACTATCGCTTGCATTCGTTCACTTATTCTATACGTCCTAGTGCTGATGATAAATTTGTCATATTATCCTGTTACCTGCACAAACTCTGCAGAAAGCTGTTTTTGGTTATTATTAAGTGCTACCACATTTATATTACTAGCTATGTAATATTTATGTAAACTTAACCTTTCCAGATTGCAGTCGGCATCGGCCTCATATTAAACAGTCGTTATGATGTGAACCACCACGTAGACATCTGCAAGGCGGACAAGATTAACAACATGACAGTTCTGGGTGTGTTCCTCGTCACCATCGTCAATGTATTCATTACCTCCTTTAGTGTGGCGCCGTCTAACACGACCATCGTAGCTAATTAAATAAGTATTCTTAAGCTCAAAGAGATATTGTTAGAGCACCAGACACGTGACATTGTGTTCACTCACACGGTGTGGCACGGGTATTTGATATTTTATCAGATGTATACGTTTATATTTTATTTAAAAAAAAACACTTAGTTATTTTGAAAAATACTAGCAGGTAATGTTATTTTGACAAAAACAATTATGTTACTTAACGGTCAAAGGGTTGATTTGCACACTGATGTTACCTTGACTAAAACCGGTTTGTTCAAAACTGGCGGTCAAAAATTTTAATGAGCGTGCAAACCTGCCTCTGTGGTTTGACAAACTCATTTACATTTTTGATGTATTTATGTAGATAGATATGACAGTAAGTAACGGGCAATAAGTATGTCGAGCTTACAAATCTACTTCTGATATTTTATCAAAACATTTTACTGTTTAAATCACATTATCAACAAAAATTCTTGAAACAAACGAGAGAAAATAAAGACTAACGATGGGAAACCTGTATTTTATAAAAAGAAATATATGTATATATTTCTGCTCTTACCAGCGCATATATATATCAAAACATATACAGCAATAGCTGTATCTATTGCATAGCATAAAAGCCTGCTAAAGCTTTATTTCTAGTCATGGAGAGAGGGTAACAAAATCGATGTCTAATCAGGAAAATACATCCAGCCTTCAAGTCAACCTTCCCTGGGTTCACAAAGACCAGATCCAGTTAGTATAATGCATTTCATCAAATCCATTCATTGGCAGTACAAACAATATTAAAAAAAATGTCTTTTCTTCTTTCCTTTTTCCGCTCATGCCTACTAGACAAAGCAATAGTTCTTAAGTAGCGTTTTCTTTGCTGCTTCCGTAGAACATTATTTTTTTAGTTTATTGTGCTTTCTTTACGTAGTCTTGAATTATAAGGATATTAATGTTGATGGGTTTTTAACAAGAAGTCGACTGTTTTTGTCAGTTGGACACGTCATAACACTGTTTATGACTCTGTTTGCGAGCTTCCAAAATCAGATGCATTTCCATTGTTTGTAAGTAGATAGTATTTTGTTCAAATTTAAATGTCTATGGTAGCATTTATATGTTCTTAAGATAATATTCCTCATTTTACTTTAAAAACATTTAGTTACCTCTAGGTTCTCATTAAATTATATTGAAAATGTTTGTATGAGTGCATGTGTGTAAATCTAATAATGTAAATATGTATGTATGTCTGTTCGAGTACGTAAACGAAATGCTGATGTAAAGTTAAGATTTAAGATTGTACGCAAGTGTTCTGATATTATAAGTATGTAAATCGGATAATATGATTCCTTGGACACTAGAACCTTATTGCATTATTTTTAATAATTGAACGCTACGTTAGACTCAGAACTAGGTTATCAATTTTTTAGCAATAATGGATTCTAAAGATATATAAGTAAGAATCAAATTTCCAGAGTATACAGACGTATACCTATTATACTATAGAATGAATTTAAACAATTATACCTTATTTTTATTAATTATTAAGCGTTTTAATGTTTTATTAAATACGACAAGTTGATATACCAAACACTCAATGATAATCTCATTATTTATATTTTTTTTTTCGATAATGTACTATAAGTAATGTTCTATATCATAAATAATCGCCTTTAAATGTAATGCTCAAATGTAATCTCATTTTTCTATAAAAATAATGATGTATTTTAAAACCGTCAAAATTCAAAATCGAATCTTTAAACGGTCGAGGAACTTGGGTGTTCCTACTTTGCATACAAAATAAGCGATGTCAAGTTCCTCGACTGTGCTTTCCTAGTGCCATTTTATGTGCCTTATTAATTGGAGAAATCCAGAAATAAACTACAATATGAACATGAAACGTTTTTCATTTTATAATGAAGTATCCGTCATTTTCATCACATGGATTTGAATATGAATACTGGACTCCGCACTAGTTTTAGTAAGCCCTTCCCTAATCACCCAATAATGGTTCGCCATCCTTGTGTTACATTCGCAAGTGTTCGTAATGGTTTAATAAATAGGTATAATATAAACATAACAAAGATTCATAGCGTACAGAGTACCCAGGCAAGTATAGTCCAGTGGCCGAACAGAAATAATTACGTACATTATCTTTATGCCTACTGATAGACATCGCATCTGTTCGAGCGCAACAGCAAAATGTTATTTAAATTAAAGTGTGCGTTCTATTAACGAATTATTTTTGTAATTTAATTGATTTTCATCCCGAACCCTAATTCGTAACAACGTGAAAGTATTGAAGCACATTCGACAGGAATAGTCAAGTGATTAAGTATTTTGTGGTTGTGAGAAACCATTCGTGTAATTTATGCCAATTCATGGTACCCTAGAGTGCCGAACACTCGAAGGATGTCGAGTTTCACGTTCTATGCATGGTACCATAGAGTGCTGAACACTCGAAGGATGTAGAGTTTTATGTTTTATGCATGGTACTATAAAGTGCCGAACACTCGAAGGATGTCGAGTTTCATGTTTTATGCATGGTACCTCAGACCAAATAAAAAGTATAGACGGAGTTCTGCCTAACAGAAAAGTGAAGCCGACAAAACTACGCCTTGGCGTATTCGTACACAGTTTCACGCACACATACATAACGAAACTACGCCTTCCTTATCAGTCTACTATAGACAGTGTGCGGAACGTTTCATTATAAAAAAAAACAAAAATTTCTTACTAACTGCCGATTTGTGTTGTAAAAGGTTGTAAAAACCAATCCTCAAAAAATAAAAAGCAGGATGGAATCACATTTCACACATAAGTATTGGAGAAAACTTACATTCTCAGTAATTTAAAAATAAAATTTAAGCAATTGCTCGGAACACAAAACCTCAGCCAAATATTACCATCTCAAAACGTTATTATTTACCCCGAAATTTAGTAACTTTAATTTTATAACGCGTTATTTTTAACAAAACACAAATTACGTTATGTATTAGTTTCTTGTTGTATGGAAATGATATTTAATAAAGTTTGCATTGAAAATGCTACATAGCGATCCAGATCACAGATATTGAAGTGTTAGAATAAGGAAGTAAAAAATAAAAAACGAGTTTAATTTTTTACATCTCTATTTTTACTAAACGGGTTTGCATTAATTTTTAGATTTCCAAACCGACATCAAAAAGTGATTTCAGTCATTCGTAATAGTCGAAATGACCTTCATGGAATCCAACTTCTCGCAGCGTAGTTTGTTCGACTCATTTTAAGAGCGATGATATGTATTTTACTATAAAAGGGTTACGTCGAATAAAGAAAAACTCATATCCAAACTTTCTATACATTAAAATTTTAGTTAACAAAGTGAAGTTTTCAAACTTAACTTAAAAATTAATTAAAAAGTCTCTCTAATGTATGGCCTCTAATAATAATTACCTACTCTTAAAGATTTTAGAATATTTATGCTGATATTGACAAACGAATTTACATTATATTATTAAATAGCATAGCGTTAACGTTAATTCTATAACGTCGTAACGTTAAGTTATTGGGGTGTTTTTAATGACTATGGTCACACTGGCACGGACACTACAATTGCTAAAAATCGGCTTCACTTTGTTATTCAGCGAACTCCGTCTTTACTTTTTATTTGGTCTGAGCATGGTACCATAAAGTGCCGAACACTCGAAGGATGTCGAATTTCATATTTTAGTTGTTTTCTACTTTATGGTTAGAAGAACGTGGCGCTACTGAGATGATGTCAGTCTGGTAGCACCACATCCATCCTCCTTTTTTTTAAAGTATTTGACATTTATCGCCCGATTTGTCCCATACTGCTAAATAAGGGATTAAAACATGAACTGTTAATTTTTTTGGAATTCATTAAAGCTACGAAGTTCTGATATATGTATAAGGAATAGATGGATCGAGAATACATTTTCAAATCGAAAAGTATGGCGCTGCCATCCTGACACACACGGGGAAAGTGTAAATAAAACACAGATTCAGAATCCAAATGTATTGAATACAAAACAAAACTAATAAATTGTCAGGTGGCAATTTCAAAATATTCTATTTTATAATAGTTAATAGTAAGAGGAGGCGTAGTCCGTCGCGGCAAGCATGTGTTCCGCTCCAGACATAATGCACTAACCTATATCACATGTCTTCGACCGAATAACCAAACCTTATATTTACAAACCCAAATAGACACGGCCGGTAAATTTTGCAAATGAAAAAAAAATACTATCATTGTCTATGGTTAAATTTCAATCAGTTCATGGAAATCTCTATAAAAAAAAGATAAAACGATAAATACGTGGTTTGTTTATTCAGACGAAAACATATATTACCGTACGGTGTCCAGATCGACCACAAACACCACTCGTCTCATCACTCTTCCCTCTACAAACCAGTTTCCCAAATCGACACACAATTCAAAGGAACCAGCGTCTAACATATGAGAACTGAAAACACGCACTCGTCATAACCGCAAACACCGTACGACAATATAGTATTTACAAAACGTTTTAAATACTAAATCATTTCCTATTTCATTTTTTTTATCATAATATAATATTCCATACAAACGTGTATTGCTATAGATAACGGCACATCGTCAGTGTAACATCCCATCCGTATTGCTGTAGTGATAAACGTTTCAGTTTGTGAAGACTTTATATTTCACAATCGGAACAATCTGTACCGAGATTCATGTGCCAATGCTTGCAAAGCATCCCAAAATATAAAACGGGAAAAAATTATTCAAAATTACCATTTAAAAACTATATATATATATATATATATATATATATATATATATATATATATATATAGGAACAAAAGAAGTCGGAAAAATAGTGTTGATAAAATTCGCTAAGGGCAAATTACAGTTATTTTTTCCCAAGATGACGTTGGACCACAACACCATTCGAGCCCAGAGATAATATAATTTGAAATACACAAGATATGGCTGAAATTTAGAAACAAAGTTTATATAATGTATAAATAGCATTACCGAGATTGGTACATATAGAGGGCATTGTACATGGTACACCACCAAATCTGTAATAACACTTAAGAAATACAACTGAACGAATTTCGCGTAGATGACTTATATATCAAGCTGTTTTTCTTAAATATCGTAATTTTGTTACTTCCCATCAGACTACAATGACAGGTTCAGCTATTATAATATAATGGATTACGTGAACTATTCATATATTTCTTGCATTAATATATAAATACAATATAAATAGTTGTCAATTTTTACAATACAATTAGTATTTCATACAAAAACAACTTCAGCAAATGTCCTCAGTTAAAAGAACAAATCTTTGTATACCTTTTCCATTTGTGTGTGTTAAAAGAAGTGTTCTTATTTTTTAAACAATTATTTGCGGCACTAAAACTGGCTTGTTTAAATTACTCATCTAATTTACATTTCCATAGAAGAATGGAATCCCAAAAAGAGTAAAGACAAGAAATATTTATAGTAAGATTTATAGAGAGAAGCATCGATTAAGGATATGGCTATACCACGGTATACATGTTGTGTTGGTATTTATTTTAACAATAGTGCATCAAATCTATCGGTATTCTAGGTATGCGATAATCGTGGATGGCGTAACAACTCACTGTTTTTAAGTGTAAAAATAAGTTACTTTATCAGATATTATACCATTGCAAATATATCATTCGCATGAGAAAACTAATGGAATTGTGTTTATAATATGGAAAACGTGTGGAAAATATTTGATACTCTGTAATTAGGAATTATGTAGACAGCTGATAGAAATAAAGCAAGTTTTACTCCTCAGCGTATAATTAGACCAGCTAATTATAAAATTTATAAACGACTATTTAACAACCAATATCTTTGCCTCTAATTCGTGTGTCATTTAGATTTTATTTTCACGTTAAATCAGAAACAGATATTGTGAGATAAGCTCATTTTGAAGCGTGCAACGTTGAAGAATTATAAATATATTTCTTCTCAAATTCTATGTTGCAAAGATTTACCAACCACATAAACTTTTACAATAATCACCCGAGTCGAGTGAGGCGGACCTGAGAAGGGTACAAAAGTGTAATAAAGGACAGAGTATAAAATTTTTTCTACATGTTACAAAAAAAAATAGTCCATATGAGACCTCGTAACAGAGAACATTGCTAAGTGACTTATATTGTACACAATCAAAACGAATGAATATACATAGTTACACCAGGAAATAACGGGACATTCTGTAAAAGTATTGAAGTGAAAACAAACTGTTTCGTTTGTTTGTTTACGATAATCATAAAAATGAATTTGTATACTTGATGTATATACAAGTATGTTAGCGTTGTTTTCCGTTACGTGCGAGTTGGATATTGTAGCGAGATTATCAGTGAGTGTTTCCACGTGCTAGATGTTTATATGGCGTCGATGTCGAGGTCGTCGTCGGGCTCGTGGCGCGCGGGGGGGGCGGCGGCGGCCGCGGGGGCGGGGGCGCTCACGGCCTTGATGGGCGTGGCTTTGGCGCGATCGTCGTACTCGATCTGAAACACGTACCAGGCACGGTTAACAAAATCGTGCGGGAAAAATATTGTATGCCGTTAGATAAACTTTATCCTGATTGTTTCTGAATTCTGTTGCACTAACTGCACTAAATTTAATTTTAATCTTGTCAAATCTGTAAACAAATAAGACAGCAGATTTCTCCAAAAGACAACAAATGCGCTTTGTCAATTTACTTTGTTTTATCTGAGACAATGCTGACAATTCTGTTGTTACAAACAACATTAAGAAATTCAATAATAACCTTATTTTTTTATTTAACGCTACTAAGAACAATACTTAATTTAGAGAGAATGACAACATCATCTTTATAAAAGCAGTGTAGATAACTTTTTTTATATTTTTATTTTATCAATATACATGAAATATACCTAAATATATATAAAAGTATCACCCATTCAATAAGTTTTATTCTCCAAGTTCTTATATGAGTTAGAGCGACGTGCCGTCACGTCGCTCTTTTTGCGGTCACGTGTTAACAAGAATAAAATATTTGCATGTCATAATTAAGTAATAACCAGTGGTCGGAATAAGGTAGAGTTATTCATGTACTTACACTGAAATGAAAATGAAATGAAATGAAAATATCTTTATTCAAGTAGGCTATTACAAGCACTTTTGAATCGTCCAAAAAACTTTTTTTCCCTACCACTTGTTCAGGATGTCTATTAGCTGACAAGAAGAACAAGCGAAAGAAACTTACCAGCTTTTTATCATAATTTATGAAATGACATTTACATTACAATGATATTACTGATTCCATACAGTGAAAGAATAAAGTGTATATGCCTCAAATCCCGTGATTAATTTTAAAGAGCAGAAAAAATCCCGTGATTTTTTAAATAAAAAGTTATTTACTTTTACACAATTTAAACTACTGCACGCACGACGTTGCCAAACTTACATCAATGAAAGAAAGAAATAAAGAAAGAAGAAATAAAGGATAAATCCCGGGAAGGTCCACATTAATATCAACATTTCGATGCAAGTACATAAATAACTCTACCTAATTCCGACCTCTGGTAATAATATAAAATTAAAATGTAATTATTTTCGTTTACTGTCTACACCCGTATTATAATTTGGATATTCTTAATAAAATTATTATAGTCAGAATATTGGCAAGCTAAATGCCAACACATAATACAAGTGGCCGCACCTCTATATCCTCGTTGTTGTCGTCGCTGGACTCCTCCTCGTCGGCGTCGTTGAGCCAGTCGATGAAGGGCTGCGCCCGCCGCAGCACGTCGGCGGTGGTCTCGCGGGAGGCGTACTTGCGCGAGGGCTTCGCCGCCCACTCCAGGATCGCCTTCTCCTCCACTATGTCCAGGTCGTACAGCAGCTGATAAACGGGAAGGAGCAAAATTTTAAATAAACATCTGACTGTACGACAACTCTTGTAGTTAACGAAAACTATATCAAGATCCATTCTATATCTATGGTTGCCCAGCTCATTTAAACTTCTTAAATATATTTCAAAGATGTTTAATTGATATATGTTATTAATTTTGCATTCATAATTTTATCCTTCTCAGCCCTTCTAAGTCGTCACTGCAGGAGCTCACGCCTTCTTGTGAATGGATAAGGAGGATGGGCCACGCTGGCGGATTGGAGGGTATTAACGTCCTGCAAGTGCAGTCGGTACCGATGGCTTAACGTGTCTTCCGAAGCACGGAGTAGCTCAGATAATAATTTTTAGGTCACCCATCCCGCGACCGACTATTAGACCGACCGATATGCGTCATGCTCGTGAACGGGTGCTGCCAGTGGTGATGGGTCTGCTCTGGAGTACTTAACTTCGTCCATTTTCTTTTATAATGAATATTGTATATACAGTACAATTATTTCAATTATGAGCTTCGAGTATATTCATCAAGCTTCGACAGTCCTAATGTATTTTAAAGATATCTATATTGTTATTACATAATTAATCATTTCACTTAAATTTAGATTAGGTCAGCCAATTAAAAATAAAAGTATACTGTGTTTCTTGAATTTTATTAAAATATCCATTTTCAGACTTTTAAAACCATTAGCTTCTGTTAAAAAGTACAGGTACACGTTGTATATTATTTCACGGGACTGACCGCTTATAGGTTTTCCTTTTATTAAATTGGTATTCATTCCACAATACCTTGAAAATTATGTAGGAATAGGAATGGAAAAGGAATAGTGCTCGCACATGGCGGCGAGCGCGTGCAGCGCGGCCCGCTGTATATGTACAGTCCGCCTACACGCGTACAGTGCACGCACCTTGAGTATGGCGGGCACCTTGGGCAGCACGCGCGCGTCGTGCTCGCACATGGCGGCGAGCGCGTGCAGCGCGGCCCGCTGTATATGTCCAGTCCGCCTACACGCGTACAGTGCACGCACCTTGAGTATGGCGGGCACCTTGGGCAGCACGCGCGCGTCGTGCTCGCACATGGCGGCGAGCGCGTGCAGCGCGGCCCGCTGTATATGTACAGTCCGCCTACACGCGTACAGTGCACGCACCTTGAGTATGGCGGGCACCTTGGGCAGCACGCGCGCGTCGTGCTCGCACATGGCGGCGAGCGCGTGCAGCGCGGCCCGCTGTATATGTACAGTCCGCCTACACGCGTACAGTGCACGCACCTTGAGTATGGCGGGCACCTTGGGCAGCACGCGCGCGTCGTGCTCGCACATGGCGGCGAGCGCGTGCAGCGCGGCCCGCTGTATATGTACAGTCCGCCTACACGCGTACAGTGCACGCACCTTGAGTATGGCGGGCACCTTGGGCAGCACGCGCGCGTCGTGCTCGCACATGGCGGCGAGCGCGTGCAGCGCGGCCCGCTGTATATGTACAGTCCGCCTACACGCGTACAGTGCACGCACCTTGAGTATGGCGGGCACCTTGGGCAGCACGCGCGCGTCGTGCTCGCACATGGCGGCGAGCGCGTGCAGCGCGGCCCGCTGTATATGTACAGTCCGCCTACACGCGTACAGTGCACGCACCTTGAGTATGGCGGGCACCTTGGGCAGCACGCGCGCGTCGTGCTCGCACATGGCGGCGAGCGCGTGCAGCGCGGCCCGCTGTATATGTACAGTCCGCCTACACGCGTACAGTGCACGCACCTTGAGTATGGCGGGCACCTTGGGCAGCACGCGCGCGTCGTGCTCGCACATGGCGGCGAGCGCGTGCAGCGCGGCCCGCTGTATATGTACAGTCCGCCTACACGCGTACAGTGCACGCACCTTGAGTATGGCGGGCACCTTGGGCAGCACGCGCGCGTCGTGCTCGCACATGGCGGCGAGCGCGTGCAGCGCGGCCCGCTGTATATGTACAGTCCGCCTACACGCGTACAGTGCACGCACCTTGAGTATGGCGGGCACCTTGGGCAGCACGCGCGCGTCGTGCTCGCACATGGCGGCGAGCGCGTGCAGCGCGGCCCGCTGTATATGTACAGTCCGCCTACACGCGTACAGTGCACGCACCTTGAGTATGGCGGGCACCTTGGGCAGCACGCGCGCGTCGTGCTCGCACATGGCGGCGAGCGCGTGCAGCGCGGCCCGCTGGGCACGCGCATCCCCGCGGGTGGCGCGCAGCAGCAGCGCGCGGTGGCGCCGCACGTCCGCCGCGATGCACTGCGCGCGCACCAGCACCTCGAACATCACCAGCGGCGCCTTCGACTTCACCTCCAGCCTGAGCGACGCGACACATAAATATGGCTTAGATAGATACAGTAAGTTACCCCGAAATATTCATGTAATATGCTCATTATGTAATAAACGATCATTTATAACAACTTTTTAAAATTAGTCACTTTCCCTATTTTTATTCAAGTAATAAAACCCGAGAGGATTTTATTCGAGACGTTTTTTGTACTTTTCTCAAATCAGAAACCGACCAATAGACAACATTACATGAACTGTCAAATTATGAACGTTTCGTTATAAAACATCATTATTATCATTGATATTTAGAATCTTAAATTATTATTACTGTTAAAAAATAATATATTTCAATATTTATTATCCTACTCCCATCGAAACCCACTCCCAAAACACAAATTCAGTTCAGTCATTCTTGAGTTATAAATGGTGCAACTAACACGACTTGATTTAATTTATATATAGGATATATAACGTGTAACATAATTAACGCACATCCTGAAAGTAGTTTATTTAAAATCAGATACTAATTTGATTCAACAACTTATAACATATAGGTAATTTTTTTGCTAAATTTAATTGAAGTCAAGTAAATTATGGTTGCAAATAACCATTACAGATGTCACAAACAAAAAATAAACTTCATTTAATGTAATAAGACTTTTTAAAATGCACTACATAGGAAAAAACAACGAAAAGTAACCTTTCTTTTTATGTGCATAGAGCCTTAAATGCACAAGTTCATAAACCAAAGAGTAACACTCACAGAGAATAATAAAATACGTCAAATAAACACGAAATATGTGACAAACATGACAGTAGCAGTAGATGATTATTTTATCGCAATTTTTTAATTCCAGATATGATGATTCTTTGTTATACTGACGTACAGTAAATTAATCGAAATGCTTAAGAGTTAGGCACAACGTGGTGGTACACTGTGCTCGCCATGTGATATGTGATCGCAAGACTATGCTAGCCGATACTTATAATAAATAAGTCTAAACTTAAAAACACTTTGAAACAGAATAATATTTCATGTCGAGAATTTTTATTGGTACGTGTATATATTGGTAGGTGGCAGCACTGTGGTATTGCGCTGTAGGTAGCCGTAATTTTGACGTCATTGTGTGGATTTGTAATATGTCCATATTGTTACCCAGCAATTAGTATAACTGTGTCCACACATAAACAATGTTTTAGTACATAAAAGTAAAACTACAATTTTCGTTTTATGATTATAAATGCATTTTCTAATTGGGGTGTATAAGGGTGTGCGTTATTTCCGTTACACGTTGTATACTGTTAAAGGGAAAAACACCGACTACTATCGGAAGCACTAATTATCGATTTCACTACGGGCAACCCTACCTATTAGATAGCTTTCACTGAACTAATGTACAGTCAAAATGGTAAGGTCAAAGCCGTTAAATATTTAAAAAAATGCTTTCACTTTGACTTTGATGTTCTTTCAGTATCGCGCCAATATGCTGGCGGGTGTTGTCATTCTAGTAAAACTATTGGAATCTGCATGGTGAATTGGAATATATCAATTGATTAGTAAAACGTGTCTCAGTACTTACCTCTCAGCCTCGTGCAATATATCGGCGTGTGCTTTCGCATTGTCCAATGCTCCAGCGTCGGAGCGTTGCTTCAGATAACTGTAGAACAGATCCATGCGCTGCTTCTCATTCTTCTCGCTGTCCTCGGATAGTGTCATACTCTTCGCGCCGTCAGTTAGATCTGATCACCATACAACGATACGAATTGAGCGGATACTTTGATAAATTTGTTTTTATTTTTGTTGATCAAGTTTTGTTTTAGCTTTTTTACTACTATTCGAAAAAGAATGTTGTTTGTCTATATGCGAAAATATTGTTTATCAAAACTAAATATAGAACTTCAACATATAAAAATATACATAAAGACAATTTTTGGCTAACTTGGATATGTGTGATTTTTTTCTTTTTAATGTGTTTGTGTAAGTATCAAGCTTCGCATTCTTCACAATGAATGCGAATAAGTAAGACTGAAAACCGTACTATAAGCTAACCTCGACATGTTATTATCTTGTTTGTATGTGTATTCGAAATTCTTCGAAAAAAATAAGTTACGCTTTCTACTGCTCAATATTCGACTAGTTATAACCAGGATTCGGAGTGACGAATTATCTTAATAAATATACCTTGACAATTACAACACACTACACAAACTCTATTTGTAGTTTAGGACCTTTAATAATAAAGGGGAATCATCTTTAAACAACTATCAAATATAGTTTTTATGATAGCGAAAATTGTCTAGGATGTACTAACAACAAGAAAAAAAAAATTAAAAGCCGCCTTTTTATGCATTTATTTTCATTTCAGTTTTTGTTCGATGTTATTTCACAGTAAATTTTTTGTTTATCTTGTTTGTAATAAATGCAAATATATATAAATGAATGAATGATTTATTGAACACACCATTATCACATTATAACAGCAAAAGGCACAGGAATAAGACTATAAGTTAGATACAATTTTATATAGCACTAGGGCCCTCCAGGGTGATGTGTCCAAAAGGCTCCAGCTCGACATAAGCCGCAGATGATTACGGCGTCGATTGTCAGCTGATGCCTATATTTTTTGTATATGTTTTATATTAATACAAATATAGAGTTTTATTCAGTTATAAAAGCCTTTCGGTATTATAAAAATTGTTGCCAATAACTGGATGGATAATTATCAGATAATAATTCTCTTGATAATTACGAACCCTGGATAAAACAAGAACAAAAATACATGCAATAAATTAACCGACTAAAAGTTGTTAAATTATTTTAACAATATTAAATAATTAATCTCTTGACTTTTGTGCTATCTGTACTTTCTATTATCGTATTATGAAGCATTAGCATTATCAATAACCTTGCATCCTGGCGCGCACGGCCGCCTCGGACACGTCCACGGTCCAGGTGCCGTCGTCGTCGTCGTCGGCGTCGCGGCCGCGCGCGCGCTCTCGCTTCGGCTTCTGCTTCGGCTCCGGCGCTGGACTCTCGCTCTCCGGCTACAACGACAAACTCGCATTTCAAAATGTCTAGCGTTTCACTGTACACCTCATGTAGCATAGTAACATTACTAAAAACCAGGGCTGGAAAGGACAGGCTCAAGCGAGGCCTGCCAATCCGGGTTCGATTCTCAAATTGAGAATTAGATTTTTTGTATCTAAAATCGACGACATGGTTCCTAAGATTCATCATCATCCCCCCTGCTGGGGCTCAGGCTTTCCCTATATCTATATATAGAACCAACTCGAATAGGGAGAATGGGCCATGACCCAGTGCAGATTGGTGGGTATTAACGTCCTGCAGATGCAGTCGGGCTCGAGATAATAATTTTTCGATCACCCATCCCATGCCCGGTCACTGCGAAAGATGCTTAACAACCGTACCGACTGAGCGCATTAAACACTCCGCCATCGAGGTCCTTAGATTAGATCTATGTATCTCTTATAACCAATGGTATACTCACGTTCTTGGCATCGCTGCCCTCAGCGTCGTGGTTCCCGTTGGCGCCGGGGCCGGATCGCTTGGATCGCTTGCCGCGGTTACCCTCAGTCAGGGACGATCCCTACCGACGATACCAATTCTAATGTTACCTTTTTTCTTGGAACTAAACCAATTGGGGCTTTCGAACAGTTCGAAAAATGCCAGTAAGGATTAGTAACCAAGTTTTTTGAAAATGCTCGCTCGGAGCTGCCTTGCGATTCTGTAAAAATCCAAACCCGAATTCACTTAAAATAGCGGCATCCGTTCAATCTTGAATTGGTAATAAAGTTTCGTGGCATACGTGACGTGAGTTTCGTAATGACATAAGAATAGAATATCAATTGATATACAAAATGTGGGAATCAATAGAAATTCTTTACTAAATGACGTGAACTCGGACACATGAGTGAATTAGAACTTGGGTTCGGATTTTACAGAATCGCCCTGCTGTATCGGGTCGGGTAGCGAATATTACAACGTCTGGGATTAACCTAGGGTTGCCAATTTTTATTAGAAGAAATACGAACAGATCAGATTTTAAAAAAAGTAAAGCACTTGTAAAAAATAGTATGCTTTATGCAATATTTTTAAAAAGCTATTTTTTAAGGTGTCCGGTACTAGTATAACAAACATAGTATGAAAAAAAAAAAGAATATTTCAGCGTCTTCTTTTAATTCAAAATAGGAGCTTAACTTTGCACACGGTCTCTTTCAAGACTAAATTTTATCAACGTTGAGTGATTACTATTTATTAACAGAAAATTAACCAGTATTTTGAGCATTAACTGTTTGTTTTGATCTTTGAACAGAACTGAAATAATTCTTTAATCAATTGAAAACGCTGTTAAAAAAACATATGAAGTCTCTCAAGAGTTAGTTAATAATATTAACCAGGTTTCCGAGCCCTAAGCATTAGAGAGGTAAGCTAATAGGGTTGACGAAAAATTTTTGTTTGTAAATTGTTGAATAATATTAAACACGTATTTTTTTTTTCGTAATCATTAAATAACGGCGATACTTTGACTTAAAATGCATGACGTTACGCTTTAGTACATTTTCTACAATACTGTGACGTAGCGAGCCCCCACTCCTCAACTTTAACGCTCGTTACCTAAGCTATTTAAAAAAAATGTATCTAATATGTTTCTATTACCTGTCTGACGGACTAAATAATATTTCTTTTTTTTTTATCCAGTCGTCATCCTTATTAAGCTCGTGTGCCTGTTGTGGTTACCTGTACAGCGGGATCGTTGGCGGGCGGGTTCTTGAGTATGAACGTGTTCAGCTTGTGGTTGAAGTCGAGCTGGCCGTGGTAGCCGCACGCCTTGCACCCCTGCGATATTGTGTTGCGTTTGGTCGACACGATCAGGTCCGTCTCGGGGTTGTCGCACTCCGGGCACAGCACGAACTTGCGGATGAACCTGTACCGATAACAATAACACGTGCAGGGTACTATTGAAATATATATCAGTAAACTTATACATATATTTATTATAAGGTAACTTAGAAAATGTTCATGGACGATTTTGAGTTAATTTCTTGTGTCAATTAATATTACAACAAAAATAAGTTTTCATCTTGCATTAAAGGTGTACGTGCGATTATATTTTATTTAATAGTTAGTGTATCTTTTGTTGAAGAAAAGGTTCTTAATAAAAATCAAACAATACATTTTACAATTACTTTCTAAGAATCGTACGTAGACGAATTCACTAAGCAACAAAACGTTGTATCTTTCAAAAAACCTTCGTTAAATCATGTTTAGCAATGAATTGAATGTGAAAATGTACAGGATATTTATCTTAGGTGTAAATAAAACAATACATATAACATACCCGTCAAGCAAGTCTTGCAGTTTGGCCGAATCATGGCTTCCATTCACAATGAAGCGTTCATTCTTGAAGTCGAACTGCGTCTGGGCACCGAGCTCGCAGCCAAAATATTTTGTTGGATCTGATAAATAATAGATATCATAGTCATTAAAATATCATTATAACATAAATTTACAATAAGAATTAACTGAATAATATGCCGCCTCAAATGCAATTGCTCAAGAGGGTAATCCAATGGACCGATGAAATAAAGGACTCGTCTGCCAAGCATCCCAAATCAAATGATCAAATGACGTCAAAAAAGACGTCCTGAACAAGTGGTAGGGGAAAAAAAGATTTTAGACGATTCAAAAGTGCCTGTAACAAGCTTACTTGAATAAAGATATTTTCATTTAATTTCAATGGATTTTATATTTGCGGTGATTTGTGTATGATTTTTGTCTTTTATGAACTTTCATATCTATCCCATCGTAGCCAACAAAGTGTATAAATTTTACAATTTTACCCCCCTCACATCTAGACCTGCACAAGGCCGTTAAATGATGCGACGGGCAGTAGGCAATGGAGAGACAAACGTGACTGTCACCACGATGATCATGATCCTCAGTCATGTTGGCAGTATAGCAATATTGAGTGAGTGATACTAACACGTGGCCGGTCGCCCCAGCGCCTTGGCCACCTCGGGCATGTTCACGATGACGGTCTTGATGCCGTTCCCCTTGCCCTCCACCTTGGCGCAGATGCGCGGCATCTTGTACCGGTAGAACGCGTCCGCCACATTCCGGTTCACGTTCACGGACCCCATAGCGAATGTTGTTACGTATCACCACCACTATATATATATATATATATGTTAAATACCTAACTAATTGTATCCGATTATGATTGAAGACTGTATTATTTAATTTTTTTTTTGTATATTTTGGAAATTCTATTTTATTTATTACAGTTATAACGTGATTTTTGACACTGGATCTGAAACAAATTTAAATAAAATTAGTAAGATTCTGCATTATATCATAGAAAAAAATGGACTGTTTCAGGCTCGTCTAACGCTGATAGCAAGTCAATCTGAACTATATGCTGCGAACGAAATGAGTTTCCTTTATACTCTGCAAATTAGTGACAGACTTCAGTATTCTAACGGTTCGGCGCTTTCCACTTGGATTGATAGGAAAATAAAGTATAGGATCGAGTTCTATATCAACAGTCAGTCAGTAAGTCATGATCGGACCTCAGTCCCCATCCCTATATGAGGAAGTTCACCGTTGGGTTGACCTCTACGGGCGCAATAGACACGTATCTGTCAAAGAGTACTACACATCGCCGTTTATCCTCCGTACATAACCAATTTTCACTTTAAAATGTTCTGCATAGTACTGACCAGCGGCAGGGCGGTTGAGCGTTCCCCGTTGTGCGGGCGTCATGCGGGCGGCGGCCCCGCGGCGCCAGTCACGTCTGCCGAAGCGGCAACAACTTCCGGTGCCTATTACTGCAAAATTTTGATGCTCTGCAACAACTAGCTACTGTCACAATCATGGTTCCGGACTAACAATCTGCAGGCTAGACACATTCCTCTTTGATATGTGCATTTATTTCAAGAAAACGTGAGGTAAAGCAGTAGACAAACCGCTGTCCACGTGCGTCAAGCTTCGCTTTGCAAAAAATGAATATGAGTGTAAACACTGTGATCCTTGTACTAATTTATGCGTCAAATACTCAATGTCCCTGGTTTCTTTGAGATGGGACTCGAACCCACCTTTGGCAATCCGGGCAACTGCTCTAACCACTGAACCACCCAGAACCTAACAGGACTGACGAATTTTTCAAGCACTTGTTACCGGCGTGGATTGTTTAAGCATTTTGTGTTTTGTTTTAAGCATTTCATTTATATCATTTATTAAGAATACTTTACATATTATGTTATTCTTTAGTTTACCCGCATCACTATCATTCTGGACTGGAAGCTTCAACAACATCTAGGGGATTTATTTTTAAGAAAAAACTCAATAACGTTATTGTTAACGTTATGTGTGTGACATTCCATCTACGATTTCATAAAGATTTCCAATTGAAAATCTTCTAGCTTAATCTTAAAATTAACTCATTGGTACCATATGTATTTGCACTCGTTAACATCCCACCCCACCATTAGTGGCAAATTTAATTGTGTCCGATGGCCAAGATGATCAAGGTTTATTTTTTGGGTGGCTAAAAATCGACCCGAATTATGTATCATGAAAGCTACAGTGTGGAGGGAGCAGTAGGCCGCTCGCTCACCTGCGCACAGTCTTGGCGGTTGTGTGCAGCGTCATGCACGCTCGACGGCAGCCGGCCGCTGTCTCCGACACGACACACCGACCACTCTCCACGTACTTAACTGATTTCTCTGGAACAATGGAAATCACCAATTTTAAGGTATTATCAAATCAGAACTATCGCACGATAGCAACAAAATTAAAATTATAATCGTCTAAATGAGATGTTCCTAACTATTCTTGGCTGGAGATCGTTCTTATATTATAGGATATTAGCAGACATAATTGAGTTAAACAACTTTCGAAATGACCGGTCGTTGGGAGCAAGTTAAGCTGTTGGTCTTGGCTCCGTCAGCACTCATAGTTCAACTAATTCTTTCTAGTGGTGAAGTTATGAACCATTTTTCCATATGTGAATGAAATCCTGGAAAGAAAATGTACCGCAGCACATTAAAAGGCGCTATATGTAATCTAATTTTATTACATATAGCGTATATATTTAATAATGAATTGAATTTGCTCAAAGACGCCATAAATGGAATATGAAAGATCACGTTTGATTATTTGACCTAGTTATCATAGATATATATTACCTAATCACATGAGCTTCAAAGCCTTTACTCGCTGTCGACGTCATTCGGCGAGTTATCATAATTAATGAGATGCCGCGGCAAAATGCAAACCCATGCGTCGACTAATACTGATACCTTATGACGTCAAGTCATAGACTAAAGATGTCTTAATCAAAGTTATTTGCATTGTTACGCATGTCTAACAAAATTAAATATCTTAATACTAATGTAGGTGATGAAATTGTGAAAACCTACGTGCACAGATATCGAGTTGACATACACCAGCTTAGTGAGAGAAAAGACACGACCTAAAATTGTTTAATAAGCACACGTATTTACGACTCGTAGTCGGAATATCAAGTTTATTTAATCAATTTCGTATCTTATTGTTCACTGCCGAAACCACTCTATTGATCGGTTCTATCATGGCTAATATTATGCGAAATAAAGTTACTAAAAGATAGCTATGCCGACTTATGGCTTAATGGTGCAGTAGTTAGCGGATGGGTGTACAACAATTTACTATCTTCAGATTCTCCGTGCTTCGGAAGGCACGTTTAGGAGTTGGTTAATAGCCACCAGTATGCACTGAGCCCGCTTGGCGAGTGGCGAGTCACAGCTCATTATTCTATTCCATAGGGAAGGCCTGAACCCCCACAATGGGGACATTAATATACTGGTGGTGATGGAAACTGTGTAGCAAAGCATTATTACGCCGAAAACATTATCTGAAAAGAAGGCATCCCATAGGTATACCATCAGTGGGAGACGTTTTACGAACTGAGAACAAAGTTCATTCATTATTTTAACAACATTAAGGTCATCAGTTTTCATCTTTCCTTTGGGAATCCCTGCAGTGTATAATACGTTTTGTACTGAGCACGTGCCAAGGGCATCAAGAATTGTTTAGGTTTTTATTATCAATAACGGTCGATTGTACTTAAATAAAAATCCTTTATGCTTTTAAAAGTTTCGTTGAACAATCATTCGACTTCATTATACCGCTCTCTTTTGAATCGGTTTCATTGAAAATGTCAACCTTCCGAAGGCCTACTGAATATTACAAGAGACGAATGTAATGCTTTTTTATATTTTGTGAACAGCAATAATTCATAATAATAGTATAGATCCGAAAGGATGTTTGTTTTTTCTTTGTGTGACAAAGTGAAATAGCTACTTTATACGATGTAAAAATATCTCATTCCCATGGGAAGATCTATAATAAATAATATCTATTATAAATTGAATAAGCTCTGAAACTAATTTATTTATTTAAAAAAAAAATTGACCTACAGAAAGCTATATCATTTGCGGGTGACATAGGTTAGAGTTTACGCAGTCGAAGTTGTGGGAAAGCAGCCAGTTCAATCTATCAATAAATAAATTATGTTGAGTCTGCATTCGATACAGCAACGGCTAGTACTGACAATGTCTAAGCCCGACTGTTGTTATGATACAATTGTATGATATTTCAAAACCGAATGAAATTCTGTCCAACAACCCAACAGTTTGTAAATGTGCATCAGTTATAATTCTCAAAGATGCATGTTGATTAACATCGATCGTTTCGTAAATTAACAACGTCATAATATTGTTATAATAAAGGTAGCTGTTTACATTTCAGCACAGCATAAACACAAACAACTCACATCAACACAACTATTGAGGCTGCATTCCACGGCGTGGTACAAGGCGACACTCGACGCGGTGCGCACACGCTGCCATTACACGCGAGAGGTAACATTTCGAGTAAGCGAGCATTATCAAACATGTGCCGCGTCCTTGGGGCGCGACACTGTGATTGGTCAACAAACTATTCGCGGTACACAATAAATCATGCTCCGCGTGAGGTTCGCAAACCGTTTCGCTTAACGCGCCACGTGTATACTTGCCAATCTCGATCAGTCAACAGTAGACGGTGACAGGCGCATTGACCATTTCACCGTTTGCCGTGTTATGGAATCCTACGCGATACGATACGTCCGCATACGAAATACCGCAGGTTTTAATTACACCTTTGTTACAGTGTGTAATCGTTTTTAAACGGCGAATCGATTTATGTTATAGGTCGAGGTACATATTTAAAAACATTGGTGTACAACACAATATTAACGTAATGATATAATAAAATTCCACATTGAATGCAGACGTACAAATGAAGTACGAATACGAGCGATTTAAAGTTTTAGTAATGGACTAGGGTGCCGCAATGCGCCAACCTTATCTTATTTCACACACATGCACTTGCGTTGGAATGTCTACTCGGATATTATTTAGAATTCTCTAAATAATATCGGAGCATACATCTGTCATTTCAAAATGTAAAAACCTTATCGATGCCGTAAAAATAACAATCACATACATTACACATAACCACCAAACAAAGCAGACAGGACATGAGGGAAATTAAATTCGATCAAGCTTTAGACGCTCGCTTTCCTCCGAGAGGAAATTTAATAATATTGAGATTTCATTTCCGTCGACTGTGTCAGGAATAAAAAAAATCAATATAACACTGTACCATTAAAAAGACAACAGAAAAATAAATTAAATTTCAATCTGCGATTATTTAATATTGTGCTTTTTATTTACGAGACACAATAGTGCTGATTTCCTACACCAACCATAATCAATTGAAACAACTACCGGACATTAAATCTGGTCGCAACTAGAAGTAACTACCTGAGCGAGATCGTGTGCTGGTTCTGTAGTCGTACTCTTCAAACACCTATAAATTATCGGACGAATAAATAGCAAATAAAACGACGCGTCAGGACTACACCCGAAAAATTTCAGCCGTACAGATTCCACATACCTATTTACTCAGCTTAAAACACTAGGTAATAAAATGTTCAGCACACTAGTAATGTATTGTAAAAAATAAATCAAAGCAGCTAACGCAACACGTTAAAAATTCTTAACTCTCATAATCTAGAATCAAACAGCCACAAACAAATATTAACTAGCGAACTTTAGCAAAATGATAACACGACCGTCTATGACAGGAAGCGTACACAGTCGAGGAGAGGCGTCATACAATTCAGTGTTTATTGTTGAGATACATGCAATGTCCACTGAAACAAATGACATCCATTCAAGAGATGCAATCAATTCGTCGCCAGCCAAAGCGTAAGATGAACACGGTAACATTATCAATGGTCACTCGGCATTTATAGATTCCAATCGATAATAAGAAAACATAGATGGTTCCTTCTTCTCAATATTGGATAGAGTAGAATTTCGTCTTTCACGAGTACTGTTTGAAAGTTATCATGAATAAACTGATACTGTTGATTTGAGATAGCTTAATCTGTGCATTGGACATTGATGACGTTTTAAGCCGGATATCGAAGAGACTTTAGCTTAACCAATAAAACTGAATCACCTATGTCGTTCTTGACCAGGAACATTTAGAAAATATTGAATTGTATTTTAGAATTGTGGGAATATTAGAGGAAAGAGGATAATATTTCACTAAAGTAACATAGCTTTGATGAATCCAAGGTATTTCGTGGAGATTACATATCGACGGTGGAAAGCAAACACGTAGTAACCCACAAAACCAAAATTGTTCTTTAGAGCAGAAAAACTTTTATTTTTTTCTATAAATAATTCCTATAAACGTCCATGGTAACAAATGAGGTGTTCCTTAGTCAATTTATAT